GACTCGGTCTGGGTCATAGTACCACAGGTAGATGGTCTTGGAGGGCTGTCGCTGCGCGTCACGCGGCACTTCTTGCAAGTCCACGAAACCGCCGGTTTGCATACTGGCAAGGGTCTGACGCAAATCCTTGAATGGTAGCAGACTGATTTCTTGGAGTCGCTTTTCATCTAATCTACCCTTCGCATGGAGAACGCGGATCACTCGCAGTGCTACATCGCCGTACCGCGACTCGATCATTCGCTCCAGTTCTAGGTGGCGCAGCTTGCGAGCCAGGCCACGAAATGCGATTCTCCAGGTGTCGAGTCCACCGATATTGTGTTTTGTGGTGAGGTTGAAGGGGGGTTGTGAGAGGTAACTAAGGTGCTGATCAATCTGATAGGCACGATTCTGCTCTGTCGATTCGTCTCCGTAGTCATCGCCATTAACGCCATTTGTCTCATCGTCTAATGGTCGTTTCCGTCGGTTCGATGCAGATGTGGGATTCATTGGACCAATACATCCTGCGAGGTCGAGTTGCGGATCAACGTCGTCGACAATGGCACTTAGCTGAATCGGAGCAGAATATTGTTCTCCTTCCTCTCCTTCGCGAGGAATTTCGTAGGTCTCTCGGCAGCGGGGCGTTTGGTATTCAATACGACGAAGAAGGCAGTCGTAGATTTCGAGTGAGGCAGGAGGTGCACATTGTCTAGCAAGTTCGAGGAATTGCGCGTTCCGAAGAGCCACATCAAGTTTCTCGTAGTTCACTCGAACGATGAGATTAGACTACGGGATGTTAGTTGCTGTATACCCCGGAGCAAAATACAGAAACTTACATCCATTGGAGAGGAGTCAATGCCATCTTCATCTTCTGACCAATCATTTCCCTCGTCGTCTTCCTGGTCCTCTGCATGATCCCGGTTGACGCCGTTGGTACCATTCTGCGCGTTATTCGAGCCTGAAGCACTGCCAAACTTCCTTTTCACACCTTGAGGAAGACCATTGAACATGAGACCCCGGGAAAGATCTCCTTCCGTTCGTTCCTTGACCATGCTCTTTGCCTTCTCCTCAATCTCGGCCTGTTGCTGCTTGCCCTTCATTTGTTTGACGTCTGGCCGGGAAGAAATAATCCGATGGGCATCAAGCCAGTTATCATTGGGGCTCTGGAAGTGTGCTTCTCGCACACGGTGGATGTATCCGTGGGATGCAAGGCTCTTGAGTGTGGGGTGAAGACGCGCCGGCTTTTGGCTCACAACGTGATTGCCGTTGGGTTCACCGGCCTCTTCCTCATGGTCCCCATTTGTCTCTGGCTGTCCTTCATCATGGTTGACCCCATTGGTGAGGGGTTGGCTTGGTTGAAGTTGGGGAAGAGTCTCGAGGTGGGTGATCGAGGTGTGGCCGAGGAACATAATAGCTTCCATTACCTGGGCAGCATATTCACCCAGTCGACTCTCCACATGCTGGAGAATCTTTCCCGACCGCACGAGGGAGTATGCGGCTTGCGGGTTGGCTTCATAGTAGGTGTTACCGTCATCGAGGGAGGTGAAGTGGTAAACGAGGTGGTGTTGAATCATAGCAGAGATTCCATTGTGCAATTGGCGATCAGTCAGTCGAGAATAGAACTTTAACCGGGGGAGTGTAAGTCGTTCATAGCGCTGGAGGACGGTGAAAATGCGCTGCGAATAGACCAGTCAGTTCTTTACCCCGCTGTCGCGATGAATTATACAGCCCGAGGGTCTGTACAAAGCACTCACCGCGAAGAGTTCTCCAAAATTGTCCTCTATCAAAAGCATACAAAGCTCGGAAGAGCACTGTGCAATCAAAGTCAGCCATAGCTCCGGATAAGGTGGGACAGACTCATGTCGCATACCTGGGTCATCATGACGGGCTAAAGAAAAAAATCGCCAGCCTCGAATCCTCGAGAGCAGGGTCACCGCGCAAGGTTCATGGAGTAGCTCCGAGGTCTGCAGGTCCCAAAACCGACGGACGTAATGAGATGCAGGTCTCTCGGTCTCCACGTTCTTTTGCCTTTTTTTGCTTATCGGCTCGATTGCGGTTCACGTGATATACAGATCAGGTGATCCGGGTATGGGATTTCAACAACAGGTGGGAGAAAAATGTTCGGGCAATGGAGGCCACAAATTGATATGGACTCTTCGGACACTGTTCAGACCGTAATCATCGTAGAATTATACTCTTTTACCACTTTTATATACTGTCGAACAAAAGTAACTCCGGTTCCGTCCGACTCGTCACTCCAGCCAATCAGAGCCCGAGTAATCAACAGTCCGGGATCTTGAAGCTTTTCGTGACCTCCAAACTGCCTCTTCCCTCCTGCTCTCTCCGCATCCCGCCTCCCTCCCCGCCTCAATTGCCCCCTTTACAAACCCAATTCGGGTTTCTATCTCTTCTTCTTCCCTTTGCATATCTTTTCGGCACAAGCGACGATGCTGTCGCGGTCTTCCCTCAGCCGAAATGCGCCGCGTGCGCTCGCCGCTGGCCGTCGGTCCATGGCCTCGGCTGCCAACCCTGCTTTCCAGTACGATGTCACCGAGGCCTCCGGTGTGAAGGTCGCCAACCGTGAGGTTGAGGGCCCTACCGGTACCCTGGCCCTGGTCGCGAAGGCTGGCTCCCGTTACCAGCCCTTCCCTGGTTTCTCCGATGCTCTCGAGCGTTTCGCCTTCAAGGTCCGTCCCATACCATCAATTGGACCATCTCAGCTGTCATCCGGGATACTAATCATGCAATTGCTCGGCAGACTACCCTCAAGCGCTCTGCACTGCGGATCACCCGGGAGACTGAACTGCTGGGCGGTGAAATCTCATCGACACACTCGCGCGAAAACCTCGTCCTCCGCACCAAGTTCCTTGCCAAGGATCTTCCCTACTTCACAGAGTTGCTGGCTGAGGTTGCCGGTCAGACTAAGTTCGCTGGTGAGTTTGGTCCCTTTTGATGATTGGTGGTAGATTGCGCAATTATAGGAACATCTTTTTCTGACTCGAACCTCTCGATGATATCAGACCACGAGTTGAACGAGGTTGTCAGCAAGCTCCTCAAGTACAAGCAGCAGATCGTCCACTCCAACCCGGAGACTGTTGCCATTGATGCCGCCCACGGCGTTGCCTTCCACCGCGGTCTGGGTGCCTCCATCACCCCCTCCCAGACTTCTCCTTTCGAGAAGTACGTCTCCGGCGATGCCCTGGCCGAATTTGCCCAGAACGCCTATGCCAAGTCCAACGTTGCTCTCGTCGCCAGCGGCCCTAACTCCGCTGAGCTCTCCAAGTGGGTTGGTCAGTTCTTCAAGGACCTCCCCACCGGCAACGCGTCCAGCCAATACAAGGTTCTGCCTACCGTGGCCACCCAGTACTTCGGTGGTGAGCAGCGCATTGCCTCCAAGACCGGAAACGCTGTCGTGATCGCCTTCCCCGGCTCCAGCGCCTTCGGTACCGCCGGTTACAAGCCCGAGACTTCCGTTCTTGCTGCCCTCCTTGGCGGCGAGTCCACCATCAAGTGGACCCCTGGCTTCTCTCTTCTGTCCCAGGCCACCAAGGGCTTCTCTCAGCTCCGCGTCAACACTGAGAACAACGCCTACTCCGATGCCGGTCTGTTCACCGTTACCCTGTCCGGCCAGGCCGACCAGGTTGGTGCCGCCAGCAAGAATGTCGTCGATGCCCTCAAGAAGGCCGCCGCCGGTGATGTTGCCAGCGAGGACATCAAGAAGGCCGTTGCCCTCGCCAAGTTCCGCGCTCTGGAGTCCGTCCAGACCCTCGAGACCGGTCTCGAGGCCACCGGCTCCGGCCTCGTCCACGGCAACAAGCCCTACCAGATCAACGAGATTGCCCAGGCTCTCGAGAAAGTCTCCGAGCAGCAGGTCAAGGAGGTATGTTATTCGTCTATTCTCGCTTGGTTGAATTTATTACTCACAACTATCTACAGGTCGCCAAAACCTTCCTGTCTGGCAAGGCCACCCTCGTCAGCGTCGGTGATGTCTTCCAGCTTCCTTACGCCGAGGACCTCGGTCTGACCGTTTAAAATCCTTGTATACAATATACCGTAGAGAGGGGAAAGCCTGTTCCCTTCATTCTGGATTGATGTGACCACTTGTGCCTAGATTCATTGCCGATATCTCCTTTGTTCTTTGATGGTGTAGTTGACTGTAATACAATTGTACCTTATCCTTTGATTCATTTCTCTGCCTAGACATGAACTCTCGTTTATTCGTTCTGGCTTGTGGTAGAAATGTGCTTACTGTCGAGTATCAGTCTGGCATGTCTGAGAAGTATATCAATATTCACCTCCCTGGCATACCTAAGCCGATACCCAATACATAAATCTAGGTGATCTGCGATTCAGCGTGTCTTAACTATAGCTGAAGTGACAATTGCAGTCTAGAAAGTGCTGGGATCAGCTGAGTTTGATGTAACAAAGTCCTGGTAAGTGCTTCCTCGATACATATACGAGCTCTATCTGACAATTAAAGAGGAAACAAGCAATTGAAAAGACTTCGTCAGTGGTGCTAACAAAAATGCAATTCCTATGAGGTAGGCAGAAGGAGCAAAAACGAAAAAGAGATGACAAGAGTGGGATTCGAACCCACGCCCCTTTCGAGACACGGAGATAGTTATGAAACCATCGGGATCAGGTTGACCTGAACCGTGCGCCTTAGACCAACTCGGCCATCTTGCCTTGAGATGTGAAAACTCGGAGATTAATTGCGTCATTAGTGGGCAACACATATCATCCATGAAAACAAAATGAAGTCGAATGGCCAACCTCCCCGAGCAATAATATTAGCTGTTGCTACTGATTCTTTATGTGATTTTATGGTTTTAGTTCTACGATTTACTATTCGTCAGCTTCTGAATCTTGTACACTTCCTGTACACGAGGTCGACGGATAAAGAGTATATAAATGTATGAGGAGACATTCTATAGCGGGAGATGTTTTCACATGAGGATCTGCTAGATTCGATACATTATAGTAAGTGATATCATATTTCGGCACTTTTCTAAGTTTAACAGTACTTAAGGATCCACGGGCAAACACCCATACACCGTCCTCCACGTATTACTAATCTGATTGTACTCGTTCCATGAGAATCGGAAGAATAATTGATCATATCTTTGACTGCACACCTCTAAATCCTCTTCCGTCATCCCAGGCGGATAACCATCTCGTGGCCGGAAGACACCAAGTGGTTTAATGCGAGCCTCTTGTGGGACGAGCACTTCCGTTGTCCTGGTTTCAAGTTCCGGAGGCGTGGGGTATGGACCTGCAACCGGAAAGGTGAATGGAGCACTCGGTTTGGCAGTATCTCCACTGTCGGGTTGATGTTCGGGCGTATCATTTGCTTTTGCGGTCACAGGGCTGCTCGTGCTCTGGGCTTGGTCGATTGATTTCCCGTTCTTCTCTTCTATCATCACGATTGCTTCGATCAGCACGATCCCTTGATCGCGGTTATGAAGTCCCAATACCCGATGCGCTCGACGAAGCATTGCTAGAGCTGTACGTCGAATTGAAGGGTCGCGACACCTGACGCATATAAAAAACAGTGGAAGACCCACGCTGATCTCGAAGGTAAAGGGCGGCTGGCTGCCATCAAATCGCGCTGATCCTTTCAAGGCTATGCTGGATTGCTCAATCATGTTTTGAAAATTTGGGGTATAAATGTCGGTTGTGATTCGCGAAGGTGACACGCAAACTCCGAGGATGACGAATAACATTTCGTAGTAGGCGAGAAGAAGAGCACACGTGCCGATTTGGTCATTTGTGCGTAGAGATGTCATCAATTTTGTAAAAGCAGTATGCCAGCTTTGTAGCTTGTCTGAGAGGGTTCTTTGTCGGGTCATCAATGTCTGAGATATATGACAGGTATGTGATTGCTCCAGCTCTTGTTCGCAGACCTGTTCGAACATATGGATTTCTGCAGATAGGAGAACAATGGCTTCCCGGGCCGATCTGAGAGAGACAAAGTTGACCTCCTGCGTGGATTCACTTTCTGTTTCTCGTAATAATATGCTCGTTTGATCCGCTAGGTTGTGGAGGCTGACTGCTCCTAGTCGGACGAATATGGGAACGATTGTCTCTTCCAATAATGAAGCTTCAGTTGATGTTAAAGGCCCGCAATCCATTTGGCTTCGTATTGCTTGAATGAGGTGTACGCCTTGGTTAAAGAGATGTACTGACTCCTCTAGATCTCCTAGGAGGGCCTCAACGCAGATAAACAAGACACATGTAATCAGTCCAGTAAATACCCCGACGCCACCACGTTCAATCCCTTGACGAACGGCGGATACTGAGCGTGAATACCAACTCAAAGCATCTCGTTGGTTCTGATTGAGTCTGTCGGGGTAGTCCCGGCGCAAAGGGACAAGATCCGGGCCTGGATCAGGACTTTCGAATAGTGAACTTATCGAGATCATGGCATCCCACACCGCGGGTTCACTTCGACAAACCTGTGGAACAATAGTGCGCCAGAAATCAATATCCAATCCACCACCAATCGACGTTGCGGTGTATTGGAAGTAGTAGGCGAAAGCGCGGCGTTCTCGCCATACTGTGTTTGGTGATAGTGAAAGAGGATTCTCAAGAATGAATAAAGAAGTCGTGCGAGAACTTGCACTTTCGTAGTCACACTTGCGGCCTGTACTGGTGCATCGGAGGCAGCTAGGCTTTTCTTCTCCGCATTTGACTCTCCGGATCCTATGATGGGGTGAGCATCATATGATCTGTATTAAAAGGTGAAGGGCATACTGACTTGCAGGTTTTGCAACCCAATTTTGATCTTGAGGTTGAGGCCCTGGTTGAGCTACCCCTCGGGCGGGCTGACAAGCGAACGGGCATATTGAACCGATTCAAAGGGGGGAAAAATTGGTGCGGCTTTAGATTCTTCAATGTAGGTATCAGTGGAGACGCGCCCAGGTGAGTGTGGCGGGATCTGCCTTTGATAGCTTGTGGTTATTTAGGGGCGTGGCGAGGTTGTGTAAGCTGGTCATTCAGTTCATGGAGATTATTATCGCATTGTCTAATGAACGCCGGTATCTTGGCAGCCAGACAAAAATGAGAGATATATGCTAACACTCATCAAATGTCAATAGAATATAAGCAATTGCAGGGTTGCAGACGAACATCTGTAATCATGTGACACATCTGGCAATTTGGTATGCTGGGGCTGAATCCAAATATAGACTAGCGCACGTTTAAATAGGGTTCTGCTCTATACATATACCGGAAGCACTGAGGTTGACTAGAGTATCCATGTGACATTCGTTGTAGTTGGGAATGCGCATATCTATACGGCGATAATCTGGCATTTGTTGTCTTCTTATTACTCGGTTTATCCAAGTCTTGTCCTCAAATATATATATTTCGCCTGAGTAACGGAATGAACCACTTAGGCGAACACTGTTAGCAATGACATGTTTAGATCCCTCGAGTTAAACGAAAAGAAAAAGCCAATTACGAGAGGATTCCACTATAACCAACATATTGGCAAGCAAAGCAATTATAGAAGAGATCATATTACAGCTTACATAACGAGGGCGTTTCTGGCTCATGTAGTCAAGACTCGTGGCATTCTTCATCAAACAGGCAAGATGGCCGAGTTGGTCTAAGGCGCACGGTTCAGGTCAACCTGATCCCGATGGTTTCATAACTATCTCCGTGTCTCGAAAGGGGCGTGGGTTCGAATCCCACTCTTGTCATTTCTTTTTGTTTTTGCTTTACCAACCTATCTACAGCGTGTGCTTCTTTTATCCCATACAGACATCAATTATGTTTATTGGTTTTTCGAAAAGAGCTCCCCGGTGGAGGAACACATACAGTATTTGAAGTCGGTGTTCTATAAAGTTGCTAGGCCCCACCACCTTTTTCTTTCATATTTAAATGAACAGAAAGTCCAATCTGATTCTCAAGCAATATGGCCACTTATTTCTATCAGCTTATTATTTCCTATAGAGGACTGTGACTGGTTAGACTCGTAGGTGGATGGATTGCATGAGATCAGAACATCCAGATCTGCTTTGACGCATGTCAGATTGGCTGGCAAGGATGTAGTTCGCTTCTGCCATAACTGGCGCCGTGGATTTATGTTCTCCAACCAGCACTATAACGGTGAATGGGGCAAGGTTATATGAGCAACGCTACCCAACTACTCATTCAATGCGCCTCGCTTCAGGCAAAGTGCCCGGGTCGCAGGCAGTTAGTTTGGCTCCACTTATAGACCTGAATGTACAACTAAAGTGAACAATCCGGATATATAAAGACTATCCAGAACGCAGCGCATGCATTGGAGAAACCTCGGCCATTGAAATCGCGATTTGAAGGGTAACAAAAAGGATGAGAAGAGGCATTGTCAAGATTTACGGGGATACCAATGTAAGGTGAGTGTAGTTTGAAAATATGCGGAAGGCTTTGAAGGGTTGATATAATAGCAAGGAACTATATGACCAGTCACCTCGCGATATACTATACACTACTACAAAGCAAGGAGTCATTGGACTCAGCAGCATGTTACACCAACTTCTGTATGCATGGCTGCTAATCCTTAAGTCTACGCACATACAGGGTTAAGTGTGCAAACCGTTACCTGGGCACCCATAGGTGGAAAACTCCGCAACCAAATAATAGGGACTTGCAGCTGCGTATATGATGTGGCGGCTGCATTATGTAGGAAGACACCGAGATGCTAGTGGTAACACTTGGCACTCCTGGGCCACGCTGCTACCGGTAACTTAACATAGGATGAAAATCATCAAATATCTCAGATACAACTGATGTGTCACGGGAGGTTAGGAGCTATAGGAATGCAAAGAATGTCCATATCAGCCAATAGAAGTAAGTTCTGTACAGCACAGCCGTCGGCATGTAATAGGGAGGTAAACGAAGGTGAAGGGCTACGGAGAAGGGAGCAGGGGGTGAGCTTGCATCGATCCACGTCTTCAGATCGTTAAATCTCTTGCATGAATGTGGATTTATTCCGAATATGGCGAATATGACTATAACAAGACGAGAGTCATGCTTTTTTTCAGATGATGGTTGAACCAAGGTTATTTCCTTCACAGGGTTGTCCAATGAAATTGAATAACATAACTTGGGTCATTGTTTCGACAATGTCTAAGTAATGGAATATAGGTAATATGTCGTACGGATAGGCCTAGCTAGGGAATAAAAGGAAAGAAATAAACAAATGAGTGATCCAAAACTAACAGATAGGCTTAGCTAGCCATAGATGTTAAAAAACCAAACCAAAAAAGAAATGACAAGAGTGGGATTCGAACCCACGCCTACAAACGTAGATCAGGAAACTGTTGTAACAGTAGGAGTTAAGGTGGACCTTAACCTGACGCCTTAGACCAACTCGGCCATCTTGCCTGTTCGATGAGAAAATGTTACCGTCTTTGACTACATGAGGGAGAGGCTAGGAGGACAATTCCAGACTTTCCACATGTTTGGCATGTGCAACAATCACAAAAGCCGACACCCGGAGTTCAGCCTAGCAACTACTACGTATAACCGACGGACAAACGGACAGATAGGTACACTCCTATTTGACTATAATTAACCCCTACAGAATAGTATATCCATAAGCCGAGGTCAAGTCAGCGGGTAGATATACTAATAAACAAGCGGCCCGCCATAAATGGTACGATGAACCCTGTAACCCGCAAATGTCAGTCCAAACAGCTATTGCATCATGTCGTGATTAGTTCCGAACTTTTAAATCGAATATTTTCAAATATATGATCGAAGTTACTACCTCTGGTCGTCCGTTGAAGAGAAAAGAGAAATTGTCAGGCAGGTACACTACCGAAAGAGCCGATTTACGCACCGACATCGGATATTGTGCTCTTTTGTCCGGGGGTGGATATTTTTCAGTTGCAAGGCGGGGATAATAGCCGTCGTCGGAGTTAGACTGTCCGAAGGGTTGAAGTGTTTCGTCGGAAATTTGTTATTTTGTGTTCATTGGGGAAGTGTGGAATGGTTATTGTCTTGTGATCGGAATTGTGTTCCCGAGGCTCGATGTTGAGATGGGTTTGACTTGGATCTTGAATGGATGGCTGTGGATAGACTACAGAATACGACTGCTACGCAAGTTGAGGATTCGTATCGCGATAGAGAGCCGCAAATGTATTCAATGGGTATCGGGTCTGTCCACGGTCCAGACAAATTATAAAATAATAAGAGGTGGCATCTAAACTAAACACATCTCCATTCCAAAGACAACCACACGGCAGAAGGGTATCTCAAACCTTCTCTAGTGCTTAGCGGTGACAGTGTCGCCTGTCAGTTTCTCGACTGCTTCCTTAGCCCTGTTCGGTGAAACGGAATGATTAGCCCGAGGTCTCACATGAAAAGGTGGATCAATGACGACAGTCAAGGGGAAAATCTGGAGAAGGTAAATAACTTACATGTCACCAAGAGCCACCATGCAGACGGTCTGCCAGATACCGAGACCGATACGGGGAGCCACACCACGGTAGAGACCGCGGATGCCGTTGTTATCGTAGATGTAGCGGAAGGTCTTACCGACGGTCAGGTTCTTAGGGCGGTTGGGGTCGGGCGTCTTGCTCTGCATCTCGACACGGATAACCTCGATGGGCTGGTTCCAGGCGGAGAGACCACCACCGAGACTGGATGCCAAGATCTTTTCAAAGGCCGACAGCTTAGTGCCTTCCTCCTTGTTAGCGACCTTGCGGATAGCCGACTCAGCCAGACGCGAGAGACCGAAGCGGGAACCCCAGTTGGTGGTCTGGCGGATAGCAACAGCGTTGACACCACGGTTGATACCGCGGATGCCCTCCTTGCGGTAGATATCCATGAAGGTCGCGAAGGTGCCGGGAGGCTTAGCGCCAGTGGCGGCCATCTTGTGCTTGGTGATTTCGACCGTCTTCATGCAGGTACAGAAACCCATGGTAGCGTAGGCCTGAGCGACACCACCAGCCATACCACCGCTGATACCGGAGACGAAGTCGTTGGCACCGAGGGCGCGGGCCTGGTACTCGGCCTCAGAGGCGACGAACAGGAGAACCGCACCCTTGGTGGATGCCTCAATCCAGGCCCACGGAATGAGTCCCTGATAGTCTAAAACAAATCCAACGTCAGCTACATGTTACACATGCAAGGTCCCACCTAGGGCGCTAAGTGCGCACGTCGGGGGAAAATGGAAGGTCGGGTATATGACTTACAACCGAGGATGCCGCCACGGCCCCAAATCCGACCCATAGCGCCTGCGAAGCTGTCGCCCCGGTTTGCGGCCATGGTTGTCTTGATCACCTCCAGCGGCTGGGGGATGGTCAGCTACCTTGATTCATTGTTAGAATATCGAGTATGGCGTACCTGTCCCAACGATGTGACCTCAAACAAGTTCAATCCTGCGCCCAGCAACAGGTTGCTGAACTTGACGGGCTTCTTCTCGAGCTTAGGGGCCGAGGCCGCGGATGGAATTGCGGTAGACATTCTAGGATGAGGATGCGCTGAAAGGGGCCCTGACCAAGGGATGTAGGGGGCTTCGTGCGTTGAGGGGAAAGAGGAACGAGTAGGTGGAAAGTCCAAGATGGAGGAGTGTAAGAGAAGGAAAAAGGTGAGAGAAAGCCAAATGTCTTATAGGGGAATCAGCAAGTTCGGGTAACTAAGCTGGGGACAGCTGGTACCAGGTACATCGGATCTTCGATAGTTCCACTCATGCTAGTGGGTACTCGGTACCTCACATACCAGCACCGGAGCAATCCCTATCCTTGGCAATTTGGAACTGTCCGTTTCTCGGCGCAAAACAATATTTTCTATTTCCTACGAATATCAATTGTATCTGAAGTTCTATATCCTACAATCGGCAGTATAGCTATAATTCGGTGTTTATGTTCTCCCCTAGCAACGCATACGGGTGGGGTTAGTCTGATGGTTGAGGGCTGTCCCGTCCCAACAATCCCGCAGTGCTCGATTCAACACAGGTAGCCGTCAGACCGTTTGATATCTACGCTGTACCTACTATCCCGATGAAAAATACATTAAGGCATCCATGTACATCGGCTCTTTAGGCCAATTTACTCTCGCAGATACGAATATACTACAAAGATCATGGTTTTGACATGGAAGCTCTGTTACAAGGCCCGCTCGAACCGATCAAGTCCCTATCATACATAAAATAACCCAAGACTATCTCGGTCACACAAAGGAAATAATACAAATGTCTATCGGGTCCTTAGTCCCCCAATATTATATCGAAGAAAAACGAATCATGACGCGCTTAGAGCTTGGCACCGACCAGCTTGGCGTAGGCCTCAGTGCTGAAAGACTTGGGGCGCTCAATGGGCATACCAAGAGCACGGTCGATGATCAGCTGGGGCAGGACACCAATGGCACGGGACACACCAAACAGGACGGTGTAGTAGTTAGCCTCGGTCAGACCGTAGTACTGGAGGAGGACACCGGAGTGGGCATCGACGTTGGGGTAAGGGTTCTTGGTCTTGCCGTGCTCAGTGAGGACACCAGGAGCGATCTTGTAGACCTGGCTGACCAGCTTGAACAGAGGGTCATCGGGCAGCTTGCGGAGAGCAAACTCGCGCTGGGAGACGTAACGGGGGTCAGTCTTACGGAGGACGGCGTGGCCGTAACCGGGGACGACCTGGCCGTTGTTCAGGGTGGTCCAGAGGTAGTCCTTGATGGACTCGTCACTGATGTCGTTGCCGACTGCCTGCTTCATCTTGGTGATCCAGTTAAGGACCTCCTGGTTAGCGAGACCGTGGAGGGGACCGGCGAGACCCTGGAGACCAGCGGAGAGGGAGAGCATGGGGGAGCTCAGGGCGGAGCCGACCAGGTGAGTGGTGTGGGCAGAGACGTTACCACCCTCGTGGTCGGAGTGGATGGTCAGGTAAAGACGCATCAACTCAACGAAGTCCTTGTTACCACCGAAGCCGAGCTGGTTGGCCAAGTTGAAGGAATAATCCTTGTCCTTCTGAACGGGGGCGACCTTGCCATCCTTGAAGACGTTGCGGTAGATGCGGGAGGCAATGGTGGGCAGCTTGGCGATGAGGTCCATGGAGTCCTCGAAGGTGTAGGTCCAGTACTCCTTCTTGTTAACACCCTTGGCGTAAGCCTTGGCGAAGGCAGACTCGTGCTCAAGAGCAGTGACGGCCAGAGAGAACTGGGCCATGGGGTGGAGGTCGTTAGGGCAGCGGTCGATGAGCTCCTCAACGAACTTGGGGACATCGGAACGAGCGGCCCACTCGGCAGACAGGTCGCGGACCTGCTGCTCGGAGGGGATCTCGCCGGTCAACAGAAGCCAGAAGAGACCCTCGGGCAGGGGCTCCTCACCACCGGGAGCCTTGGGCAGGAGCTTCTGGCACTCGGGGATCTACGGATAAACAGTAAGCATGTGGAAGGTCGATATTCAGACCGAGGATCACCTACGGTGTAGCCACGGAAACGGATACCCTCCTCAGAGTCGAGGACGGAACCCTATAAAAAAAAACTCAGGTTAGCTGCGTCATCACCTAGGGGGGTCTAAGTTGTTGAGCTTACCTCCCAGACGAGGGACTTGATACCACGGGCACCACCGTAGGCCTGGTCGAGGGTAACCTCACCAATGACGGTGTTACCGTGCTCCCTGATGCGATTGTCAGCTCTGTGGTTTCGGATAGGGACAGCACGTCACATACTTGCGGAGCTTCTTAACCTTCTCGATCTCGGCAGGAAGTTTGTCGGCGAAGGTGTCCTTCAGGGACTAGATGATAGCATGTTAGCATTGATCCGAAGCTTCCTTGGTGGATATCGTACCTTGGCCTTAGCGGAAGAATAGCAGCGCACGCCATTGAAGGCAGCGGACTGCACGGGCTTCGCAATGGAAGACCGGAGAGCGGCAGTGCCGATTCTGAGAGAAGCCATTTTTGAAATAAAATGAAGAAAAAAAGATGGGGGAGGAGGGGGAGATATGGACACAAAGCCTGGGGAGAAAAAGAAGGAAGAAGGGAAAGACTGGGAGAAGCTCTTTTGCGGCCCTGCAATTTTCTCGGTATTTTCCATCTGGCCGTATTACAGCCGGTACGGTCACAGTCCCACTCGGGACGCCGTGGAAGGGAACCTCACCACGTAATTTTCCCCCAACGGTACGGGCTCGGGCTGCCGGCAGATCAGCTTCGGTTTCTTTATACGAAAAACGGAGCTACGTGTCTTATCATGCCATGGTATTAGATCTTAACACGAGTGTATACAATATCTATATAATATGTAAATTATCGGACTATGATGCTATGTGTATGTATCCGCTTTCGTCCCAGAGATCCGGAGTGACGGGGCGGTACGGGGGTGATACCATCCCTGAAGGCAGTGACGTCGGCAAGTCGCCATCCATTGTGCCGCCTGTCCGTGTAAACCCTCGGTATAAAGTGCTCTTATCAGATTGGCGTGTATAGGTACGGGGTACAACTGCACCTGATGCCGCCATGACCTCTCTTACTTCCTATTCTACCCTATGCTCTCGGATTTCTTAAATGGTTCACCGAGGTCGGAAGCTTCGGGCGGGAGCAAGGGGCAGAATAGGGGCACGTTTTGGGTAGGATATTCCTCGGCTCAGTTTGAATGTCATTCCGACAGTTTCAAGAATGTAGTTGGATTGCATTTCACTATCACATATATCTGATTGTAGTGAAGGAGATATTGATAATGATCATTGCAATAGTATGCGAATATCGTCATGAAATACCGTAGACCCCAGATATGGCGTCAGATAGTAAAGTACGGAGCAAATCAGACTCAAATCAATGTTGAAGAGAGATGCATCAATGCTCAATTACGTGTCTTCTTGGAGCCAGACATCATTCAGATCTATTAGAACGTGATATCAGCTCCGGTCGGTCGCATATACCACATATGCTTGAAATTGTTCTCACGTGATCTTTCTCAATCAGGTCTAGCTCCCACAGATTCTGCCACCCTTCTTCCCCTTTGATGCCCTTCGCATTCCTTCGCTTTCCAACTCTCATCTCTCTATTCCATCAACTTTTCGATCTCAGTCCATCCCTTGAACTCCGTAAAACCCTCTGGTTTCTCCCTGGATCTCACTACGACACTAGGCTGTACATCCCCCGTACTCTCGTACTCGGCCAGGCAGCCTTCCCTGGACACAATATCGCTAGGCTGTATTCAGCTGTAGGCGGCTGTTCTCTGCTCGACAGTGAATGCGCTCGTGGAGTCTGTAGTGAAGAATCGCAAATCACCAAGGACCCTAAAATATCTGCTTTTCAAGGGATTTTCCGCAGTAGCTGGAATCATCTCTTCTCTCGATAGGCCTGGGCCAGAATTTCTTTTCTCTCTTCGTCTCTCTCTCTTTTTGCGACTTCGTTCTCTCGCAATAGTTCATCAGCGATGTCGTCCGCGGTAGCAGAGCTGGAGAATATTCTCCAATCCATGCTGGCTCTCAAGCCTCCTGGTGTATCGGGCTCCAAGATCGGTAGCATCACATCCTTGTGCACTGCCAACGTGCAGGTACGCTTTTCCCGTTTGGTCGATATTTCGTTCCATTCAGCCCCCAACTTCCGGAAATACGCTAACTGTCCTGCAGAATGAATCAGTTCTCATTCAGAAAATCTACACCCACTTCAAGAAGGCACCGGGCTCCCACAAGTTGGGCGTGCTCTATGTCGTAGACTCAGTAACTCGACAATGGGTAGATGCTGCTCGCAAGGCTGGTCAGGTTCCTGGAAGCGAGGCGCCAGACGGAACCTTCGCCGCTGGAGTCAAGCGTGTCACCGATCTGCTGCCTGTCCTGATGACCGACATCATTAACAATGCTCCGCAAGATCAAAAGGTAAGCAATAGATCTGTATCTGATATCCTTACGCTGCAGCCTTGGCGGGGACCAAGAACCTTTGTATAGAAATGCACCCTTACCCCATGTCTTCAGCCCTGAAGATCGCCAAGGCGTGGACGTTCTGAACAACCGGCTCACGTATTATCATCCCTTTAGGAGAAGATCAAGAAGCTAGTTGATATCTGGGAGCGTGGAGGCACATTCCCGGCGCCCATGCTGAACTCTTTCAAAGAGAAATTGAACGCAAGTAAGTCAATCGCACTGGGACCATTGTCGTCGTCGCACTCATGTGCCCCGTCTTGTTCTCGTCTGATCCCGTCTAACATTTCATTAGCCGTCGAATCCCACACCCCCGAAGGCTCACCTGCCCCCAACGCGAACCCACTGGGCGTTCCGCAACAGCCCGCCGCACCGGACACCTCGAGCATCCTGAAGGCATTGGCGGATATGGCGAAGCAAAACACTGCGGCCCCTACGGCACCATCGGCCCCTGCTCCGGCCAATCCTATGGCTTCCTTCAACGCCGCCGCAGCCATGCCCGCTGCGCCTTCCACCGATGCGTCTTCTCAGGCTTCTGCTGCCCTGAATCCATACGGCGCAGCCGCCGGCCCCATGAACCCCTTTGCGGCGATGGGAGCTGTCGCTCAGAACCCGGTCATCCCGCCTCAGAGCCAGACTGGAACTCCTAACCCCATGGCCGCTGCCAATCCGTTGGCCGCGTTGATGCCACAGACTGCGCAACAGCCTGCCATGGACCCGGCCGCGATGGCCCAGCAATTCCAGCTTCTTCAAATGCTTGCTGCTCAGGGTGTTCCCCAGGACCAGTGGGCCACTGCCTTGCAGCTCCTCAGCATGAGCAGCAACACAAATGGTATGGGTGCTATACCTCCCGCTGGACAGATGCCTGCCATTCCTGGATTCCCCCAGATGCCCGGCCAGAACGTAGGCGGCTGGGGTCGCCCTGACTCTCAGAACCGTGATGACCGAGGCCGCGAGTTCCCTCGTTCCCCTCCCACTGGATACCGTCGTCGTTCGCGCTCCCCTGGCTGGGACAGACGTCGTACTGCCTCGCCCCCTCGTCGTCGTGAGAGCCCTGTGTATGGAGAATATCATGGTGACTCCCCCGGTCGTCGTGGCGGAGACCCCCGTGATGCGCGTGGTCGTCGTGGCAATGAGTATCGCCAGCGCAGCCCTCCTGGCCGTGGTGGTCGTCGTCGCTCGCCTTCGCCTGCTCGTAGCAAGGATCCTAACCTGCCACCCCCCGGTCCCAAGTTCATTGAGTGGGACTACTCGATTGGCCAGGGTGTAATCAAGGTGTTGAGCCGAACCCTGTTTGTTGGCGGCGTCACCTCTTCGGAGGCCCACCTGCGCCAGCTGTTTGGCCAGTTTGGAATCGTTCAGACATGCATTGTTAACGTGGACAAGCGCCACGCGTTTATCAAGATGATCAGCCGTGGTGACGCGATGAGTGCTCGCGATGGAATGGAATCATACCGGACTGGAGATATGCAACTTAGGGTAAGTTTAGCGTTTGCTCCACACACGAAAGGAGAGATCATGTTTACTGACTTTTTTTCGACTATAGACTCGGTGGGGTGTTGGCTTTGGCCCCCGCGACTGCAGCGACTACCAAACTGGCGTTAGCATAATTCCAATTGAACGCTTGACTGAGGCTGATCGGAAATGGATGCTCACCGCCGAGTACGGCGGAACTGGAGGACGTCCCATTGAATCTGGAATGATTGTCGAGGAGCCTGATATTGAAATCGGCGCTGGTGTCTCTTCTAAGGCTATCAGCCGTCGCATCGCAACTGACACTGGCGGCAAGCGTGGTCCTATCTCGACACGCGACAACCGCTTTGGCGGTCACCCTGGTGGTGGTGGTGGCGGTGGTGGCGGTGGTCGCCGTGATCGTGATGGATACGGCGGTGGCCCCAACATGGGTGATGGCGCCGTCGACCAGGGCCAGACCATGAGCAACCCTGCAGTCCCTCCTGCTGTTCCTGCCTATGGTTTCAACTTCGCCAGTATGCCTATGCTGCCTCCTGGCTTCATGATGGGTGGTGCGCAGGGTGGTTCCATGCCCGGCGCTCAACCCCCCAATGGTCAGGGCAACTAAGCATTTTTCTTATCTCATTCCATGCGTGCATATCTTGCATAAGGTCCAGGATTGCGCAAGGGGCAAAAGGCGTTGGAGGATTGAAAATTTTTCGAGCGAGCTTTTACGGGAGGTTATCGTGATCTTCGATTTTATTCTTATTAATTCTATCCTTGCATGTCCCGAAGGCTTCATTACAATTCACATACGTTAGTTAGCAGGAAATACACTTTTTGAACTTGTTTCAACTCTGTGGCCATCGTAGGACGAGGCTTTACAACGTGTTTACATATTGAGCTTTCATTTTATCGTGTATATTGACCGAATAAAGGCCTAGTTTTGTAGCTCGTCTCTTCTCGTGTTTTCTTGCAATAGCATCCAGCTGCTCACGCGGTTCGATCCGGCAGAGCCTTCGAAGCGCGGAATGACTGTTCAAAGTCGGCAATGATATCGTCAATGTACTCTGTGCCAACCGAGATACGGATTCCATCCTCGGTAACACCGGAATCACGACGTTCCTGCTCTGAGAGCTGCTCGTGGGTCGTAGACCAGGGGTGAATAGCAAGGGTCTTGGAATCACCAACACTGCAACAGGTCAGCCACATCCTTCAAAGAACGAAAATGGGATAGCATCATACTTGGCAAGGTTTGAAATCAGCTTGAAGTTATCAACGACCTGCGCACCAGCAGCCGCACCACCTTTAATACCAACAGATAAGACACCACCAAATCCACGCTTCAGATACTTCTTCGCAAGATCATGGTTGGGATGACTTTCCAACCCAGGATACGAAACCCAGCTAACATTCTCATTCTTTTGAAGCCATTTAGCCAGGGCAGTCGCATTGCTGGCATGACGCTCACACCGCAAACTAAGAGTCTCCAGACCCAGAATGAGTTGCTGCGCTGCGAACGGGTTCAGGGCTGATCCAAGATCCCGTAGGATCTCGACGCGCACTCGGATAGCATAGGCGACAGAGCCAAATGTCTCCCAGAATTTCAGCCCATGGTAGCCCTCTGAGGGCTCGATGAACTGCGGGAATCTGGCGCCGTTCTTGCCCCAGTCGAACTTACCGCTATCGATTACCACGCCGGCGATGGTGGTACCGTGACCGCCGATCCACTTCGTTGCGCTGTGCACGACGATGTCGGCGCCGTGGTCAATTGGGCGGATGAAGTAGCCGCCTGCGCCGAAGGTGTTGTCCACCTAGACGTAAAATGATCGTAAGAATTTGCTTCTTGCGCTCGAATACATCCTACATGTACATACCACAACGGGAACACCCTTTTCGTGTGCAACCTTGGCAATAGCTTCAAGATCAGGAACATTATAACGCGGGTTTCCAATACTCTCAAGGAAGACAGCCTTCGTGCGGTCATCAATCGCAGCAGCAATATCCTCAGGCTTATCACCTTGGACAAACTTGGTATTGATACCAAGGCGCGGGAACATAACCTTGAATTGGTTATACGTGCCACCGTACAGGTTGCTAGTAGAGACAATGTTGTCGCCAGCATGAGCTAGGGCGGAAATGGCCATGAATTGGGCTGCCTGGCCGGAGGAGGCAGCAACGGCGGCGACACCACCCTCCAGAGCTGCAATTCGCTTTTCAAAGACATCTACTGTCGGGTTCATGATCCGGCTGTAGATATTGCCGAACTCCTTGAGGCCAAAGAGCCGAGCGCCATGGGCGGAGTCATTGAAGACATACGAGCTGGTCGCGTAGATTGGGACAGCGCGGGAGTTTGTGGCCGCGTCGGGCTCGTGGCTTCCTTTACTTAGTTATGCCTTCTTCGCGTCTGAATTGGTTACTTACCCGGCGTGCAACTGTAGCGTGTCGAAGTGGAGAGTTTGGGGATTGGACATGGTGCGGGGAAGTTCGTCGGAACTAATACTTTTGATGTACAACACAAGGGAAACGGACACTCGGTGTCGGATGGCTTTATAGGAGATAGATGCAAATCTCAGGAATTGAGGGCAAAGTTGAGGAAAGAGGGAAGTCAAAGGGGATGGCGGGGAAGTATATTGCGTGATCGACTGCATTTATGTCCTTGGCCTCGTGTTTTTTACTCCTAGCTCATGTTTGCTTTTTGCCTAGGTAAGGTTTGCTCCGGTTTCTCCAATTCAGTGATTGGAGCATAGTACCAGCTTCATGTTCTATGCAGATAATTGGAGGGCATTTCCTAGTGGGCTTGTAGTGATTGTTAGTGGTACAGAATTGCTCGTATTCTTTTCTTTTTTGGTTTTATATTTTTCCTTTTTAATCTTCCTCTTTTCCAATTGCCGCCTATGACTGTCCTAATATCACGAGTATCTGCCCTGCTATATTGGGTCTTTCTCCCTTTCTCCTCCCCCCTGCTCGGTCTTGGATGGTGGTTCATAGCATTGATTCTGGTTTTCCCTGGTGTGGGTAATAATTTGAAATGTATACTGGAAACAACTTCATGTGCTTCATGCGGACAAGGATTTTTGTTACTGGAGTACAGCTGGCGGTTTTGTACTATGCAAGAGATATATTGGGCTTTTGTTATAAGGTTAACTTATATGGTAGATATCTACACCCAAGCGTGCGTTGACTCAATCCTACCTGTGTCTCTTTTTTGGGTTCGATCTTGTATACATGGTGGGACGATATGTTGGTCACCAGGAGGGCATGATTATATGATACTGGGTGAAGCGCTCAGTTGAGCATTGGCGAATATATACATAGGTCTCACCCACTCAAACACAATACCATCAAATAACGCCTATTTTTAGTACCGAGTGCGAAAATTCGGATTCTGCTGCTATTTTTGGCTTGCTAGCTTGTAAATATCATATTTTAAACGAAAGGTTGTTATAGAACAGGTATTACGGGGTTAAGGCACCATTTTCTAATTTTTTCCATACGCTGTCCGCTCATGTAGTCAAAGGTGGCCGGACTTTCCATCGAATAGGCAAGATGGCCGAGTTGGTCTAAGGCGTCAGGTTAAGGTCCACCTTAACTCCCAACTGTTACAGCAGTTTCCTGATCTACGTTTGTAGGCGTGGGTTCGAATCCCACTCTTGTCATTTCTTTTTTGCTATTTTATCTTATAAACCGCCGGCCCGCCCAACCCAGCTGGTCTAAAAATTTTACTTCATGGTCTACATTATTTCGCCGTGCACGCATACACCGGTGTAGTTGTCTACACATCTATATACTCCCAATCAAACCAAGCCGAATAACCGAATAGACCACAAAGGTGCGCGGCCCATCGATATAAGCGTGATGTGCTTGCGCTTTATAGGATTGACATCTCGAGCGCCTTAGAAACTGGGTCTACACCAGAAACCATTCAGGAAGTTGGGGACGAGAGATGCATGCCAAATTATGACTAGCTTCAACGGTGTCGAGTAGAGTAGCTCCCCCCTGCGATAGGAAACGGGTCAAGATAATGAATGCCGTGCCAATCGTAGACCAGTTCCAGGTTACGACTCCGGAGGAGGCTAACGAGTATCTAGAAAGGTTGCTTCCGACGCCCTTATCGTCTCTAGAATATAGTATTCCCGACGAGCTAGCCGATTTATATTCACCCCGAACGCTTAGGAGCTGAAGTCGGAATCTCCAGGAGACACCGTTGAGACCGGATAGCCAGCAGCAGCAGCGACACTTGCAAAGTGAGAACCTGGCGGTCCCATGATACTATCAATTCCACCGTCGTTGAGTGACTTTTGGGCACCTGCCTTTGCTAGCTCTCCACTTTACAGTGCTCGTCGGTTATGTCATTTCCTAGGGGAGCAATAATCATGCCTTGTTTTGAGTAAGCCGTCTGAAATCTTAGTGTGACACCACCTATAAAACCTTGTGAGCGGTATTTTTCGAATACAGCTGTTCATCATCCGATACCCACACGGCTGAACCCAAGAAGCTCTCCCAGTGGTTTGATAGCTTGATGCTCTGAGCTAATATAAAGCGAGTAAGAATCTTGATCTCAGACTTGATAATGTATGGAAAAGAACTCTACAGCGTATTCGAGTAAAACCTGTTCAGAGACAAGGATATATTTAATATCAGAAAGACCACTTGTCTCCTTATACACGCCACCAATTGAGTCAAGCTACTGTGATATTGGTCGAGCCTCGTGATTCTCGATGTGATTTGGCACCTTTCGCCACAAATGCTATCTATATTCAGGACTTGAGTCTAAAACATATCCTAGATCCTCTTAGCCACTACAAAGCAGCACGATTTCTCTAGCTTGCTCACTTTAGCTTATATGGAAATTGTATAAAGTCAGCCACGTGAGTCTTGTGGCCCTTTCCTGATCTAGCTGCTGCTCGGCCCTAAGAAGAAGTTCAGTTCGCGGTATAGCCGTGATGGTTGAATTGGGTCTTCATCGTTCTTAACTGTATAGGTTAACTTGCTATGAGTAGAGCGTACCGGATTGATGCTACTGTACTCTAGTAACTAACAGCCCCCGAATATATACGGCGCTCGCCGTGAACACGTCGATATCCCTAATTTTATTCCCTGAATTTTATCAAAGAGCTCTCAACGCTCCCTTTAAATTGGGCAAAATATTTAAAAGGGGTTTACGCGTATAGGCAAGGTCAGGATCTTTATTGGTCTGATATACCTGGTTGTAACGTTAGTAGATTTAACTGTAACGCGACAACAACAGCACCCATAGTAAGGACCAGACACCTTCATTGTTAGAGACGACCATTTCCCAAGATTAAATAGAGCTCAAGCCATACCTGGAGTGGGCGAGACATGATAGCCATGGGAAATAGTGATGCCATATTAAAAGTAAAGCCACAGCCTAAGCTGATCAGGCGGCAGGATGCTAACTTGATTTGACCATAGCGCTAAGCAGTCTGTCGAATACGAACAACTTAAACCACATGAATATCCTAACTGCGTTGGGAATCAATAAATCCTACGGTTTGTCCAGTACGGTTACGTGACAGTTTGAGGTTAGTCAGGGCGTATTGGGATCAAACCAGTCGATTGGTATATATAGTCAAAAGTGGACTACACTCCTATCCAATAGGCAAGATGGCCGAGTTGGTCTAAGGCGTCAGGTTAAGGTCCACCTTAACTCCTAACTGTTACAGCAGTTTCCTGATCTACGTTTGTAGGCGTGGGTTCGAATCCCACTCTTGTCATTTTTTTTGCTTATTTAAACAGCACAACTATCTATCCTATGGTTACGTGAAAAATTTGTTTTTATTTCATTTGCAAGGCTTGCGTTGAATATAGAATGAGGGGAGCACGTAAACGGTGGGATATGCGGCGGTTAGAAAATGGTTACTGATAATCGATATCATCCTTCTTTCGTATACATAATTTTGATATAAGGTTATTTTTGTCGCCGTTAATGCTATGATTGTTTCTAGTTTATCACTTTGTTCTTATGTAGATTTCGTAGGTATAAGTTAATATCTGATAAACCTGTCTATTCGTCACTATGCATCGGCCTCTATAAGTCCACCTTGATATTGATTTCTAACTTTGTGTCAAATAGCTGGGTTAAATCATTAGCATGGTAGCCGACTTGTTTATTGGGTATATTAAATGATTGGTATATTCTAAACTGGATATTGGAGTAATTTCTACCGTAGGGTTTGGGCTAGTATCTCTTCTCGCTGCCAGGTAGGTGTGAGAGTATATGCCTACATGATATATGCTATTAGGGTAATATACGACATTTCTTCTACATGACATGCTTATTTTACTTGAAGTTTAGTTTGCTTGACCTCTCTATTCGTCTATTCACATACCGCTCCTAGTCATATAACCTACAGTAATACAAAATAATGCTGCTATATATAGGAGCTCTAGAATCTCAAGAAAAGGATAGCATACAATCAATGACTTATTAGCCTATTATATACATTAGTCTTATCCTACATGGTCTTATTCTATCGGTACTAAGCGAATAATACTTCATGAATGCCATACTTCATAAATGCCATAAGAAGAAATAAAAAGAAGGGTAATTCGCCACAGATAGATAATAAATAAGCTTCACGGTAACGGTCGGTGGATAAGGCGACGAGAAGAAATAAAAAAGAAATGACAAGAGTGGGATTCGAACCCACGCCTACAAACGTAGATCAGGAAACTGCTGTAACAGTTGGGAGTTAAGGTGGACCTTAACCTGACGCCTTAGACCAACTCGGCCATCTTGCCTATTCGATGGGTGTGTTACGACTTTTGACTACATAAGCGACAAAACACCGACCAGAACAATTTTGATATAACGCCGAACGTACGTACGGAATTCTTCTAGTTTTTCTGTTTACAGGCAACTTTCATCCCCGTGGTTATCTGATATCTTGTTTACATATACTGAATGGGCTTGCGGTTTATTGACCAATAATTATTCACATTTGAAACCGAAACATGTGTCAGGTAGTATACATCAAGCACAGGCATATATATCCATGCCCCCAAACCAAGAACCCAAAATAGTACAATATGTATCAAACATGGCAGATGAATCACTCATGCCCACTGTCGAGGGTGTCGCAGCACATCCATAATTTCCTTCTCGCGAGTCTTGTCCTCTGCCAGCTCCTCATCCTCTCCCACGGCCATGTTTTCTGTCCGTGTGCCGGAGACTGGATCCATATAGGCCCAGCTGGCGGTACGAGGAAGACTCATCAAAATACTCTCAATACGGGCGTTCGGTGTGCGTAAGCCAAAGCTGGTTCCGCGGTCATAGACAAGGTTAAACTCCACGTAGCGACCACGGCGAAGTTGCTGCCACTCCTTTTGCTCTGGAGTATACAGCATGTCCTTCCGTCGCTCAATGATAGGAACATAGGACGGGAGGAAAGATGCTAAGCCATCAGAGACGAAAGAGAACAGTGTCTCCTGGGGATTGGAAGATGACCCAGCGGAGGTTTGAAGGAAGTTGGCGTCGAGGTCATCGAAGAAGATGCCACCAACACCACGGCACTCGCCACGATGGGGAATGTAGAAATACTTGTCACACCATGCCTTGAACTTGGGATAGTATGTGGCATCGTGGCGGTCGCAAGTATCCTTGATGGTCTTGTGGAAGTGCTGAGCATCCTCGGGGAAGAGGTAAGTCGGAGTCAGATCCGTGCCTCCTCCGAACCACCAGTTCTTGTCCCCGTTAATAGGGTCTTTAGGATCCGTGGTCTCGAAGTATCGGTAGTTGAGATGCACCGTCGGGGCCATAGGGTTGTGGGGATGCAAGACAAGCGAGAGACCAGCAGCGAAGAAATCCAGCGAATCCACATCGGAACCGACAAATGACTTATGGTCGGCACGCATTTTCTCAATGGCAGGCCGGGGCAATTGCCCGTACACCACAGAGACATTCACGCCTGCCTTCTCAAAGACGTTACCGTCCTGGAGTACACAAGAAATGCCGCCGCCACCATTGGGACGCGTCCATGTATCTGTCTTGAATTGTGTTCCATCAATTCTGCCTAGTTCCTCGATAATCTTCTGTTGATGGTCCTTGATGAGCTTTTCCATTCGTAACCGCATCGGCGAGGACTCGTTGATGGCGGATGATTGTTTGAGGGCCTCATCTATTTCGACCATGGAAGGGGATTCGAGTTCAGTGACTTCTTCGTTCATCTAGTGGACATGTTAGTGTTTTCTATGCCGCAGAGGAAGCAGTGATCCTACCATCGAGTAAATGATTGCGCCAATGAACGGCACGCCAACGGCGAGCCGCAAGTAGGGTCTCCAAACAGTGAAGGGCTTTGGCTGGCGGGACTTCTGTTCAGTAGAATATCCACGGAACGACGGCCCAATACGACGACCAGCAATGCGCGTGTTGCGCGTGGACAACTGAGCCAGCGACCTCCGCAGAGGTGTGTATGATCGGGTGGACATTTTTGCAACGAGATCAACTGCGCAATTGGCTATTGCCGGCGCAATACTTCTGCGAGATGATTGGGATTGGTGATTATACACTCAATTCCTTAGAGAACAAGTGAGGAAAGGGACTGGGAGAATTCCAGGTCAAATAGGACCACGCAACTTTGGTTCGAATCGTACGACATTCTAGAGCTGGGTTTGTGCTGTTTGCCTGGATGAGATAAGCACGATAAGCCGGCCCCAGAGCTAAGGCAGCAGTACTTAGGTAGTGGCAGTAGTAGCAGTCATGCCAGCACCGATACTATGATATGTATTAGACATATTTTTTGCATAGGCTGGCATCAAAGACCTTTACTTACAAGATACGACACTGTATGTTTACTGTTTGTCCACGTGAGGCATGAAAGGCATCTGATTTCTGCCGCGTGACAATGACTCACCGCCCCTGGATCCCGTGATGGTATTACCGTAACGTCAGCGGGGGAGTCACCTTGTCATCCTCTATCACCCCTCTTCATCTCTCTCTCCTCTTTCTGCTTCTGCAGGCAACTTCATATCTAAAGCTTCCCACCAAGAGGCTATTACGACCACCGAACTTCCATCAGGGCTTTCTGGTACCTTGATCTTACTTACTCTCCACCCGACCCGCTCTCACTTATCAACCCGCCTTATCAGTCACGATGCGCTCCAAGTTCAAGGACGAGCACCCCTTCGAGAAGCGAAAGGCTGAGGCCGAGCGCATTCGCCAGAAATACGCTGACCGCATTCCTGTAAGTTTCTTGACCGCACAAATGGGGATTACATCCCGAGGTTGCTGGTTGCTGCAACCAACACCCCGGTCCTCACCGCTTGTTCGGCAGCTAACGGATTATCAATCTACAGGTCATTTGCGAGAAGGTTGAGAAATCGGACATCGCCACCATCGATAAGAAGAAGTACCTAGTGCCCGCCGACCTCACCGTGGGGCAGTTTGTCTATGTGATCCGCAAGCGCATAAAGCTTTCACCCGAGAAGGCCATCTTCATCTTCGTGGATGAGGTTCTTCCTCCAACAGCTGCGCTTATGAGCAGCATCTACGAAGAGCACAAGGATGAAGATGGCTTTTTGTACATCACGTATGTTTTTCCCTTTCTCTCCTTTCTGTTTTGATGAAATCATATTGACATAACGGGTAGATACTCCGGCGAGAACACTTTCGGTGACCTTTAGAGGTTGTCCCGTCTATCTCACTCGCTCTGCTGTTTAGCTATGACCAGTGTCGTCGATGGAGGAACGGGCAGACGAGAAGACATTAGCAACCTTGGGGATTCTGGTCTTAGGTCACTCTGGCGTTTAATTCGGTGTTCTCTGCGCATTTTCTTTTTTCGACTTTGCTTGACAACTATGCTCTACTAGCTGCAAACACAATCATTACGAACCTTTTCTGGTTGTGATATCAACTCTGGGTCTTTTGCCATTTTCTTTTGGGGTTTCTCTCGCGTTGAAGAATCAACCCAGAAAACCAACCACGGATCAGGCTAGCGAGCGCAGAAATATGGATCGCTTCCAAGCAATGGTTTATCCAGCAAATATCTAATCTAATCGATGTTCCCTACAGTCGTAGACAATAAAGTTAGAAGATACCCCAGGCCACTATACCCAGCGGATTTACTCCACTTGGGATTATCCTTAGCGACCTATAGGGATCTGACTTAATCTGAGCCCAGAACGCCTATAGCCTCAGCACTGAGACTGAGATTCGGGCCCAAGGCCGTACGGACTCTTACTTCGTGCGGTGTGAAAACTTAGAAGTTGTTGACATCTATCGTGATCATCATGCGCTAACGTTACGAAGTTACCGTCCCCAAACATGCCTACTCAAAACGCAGTAACAAGCCATTGTAGATAGAAGGATGAAGATATGCAATTACTTTGTTATAACCAGAAGACAACCTTTCCTCGCCTGGATCTGTTCTTGCAGCATACCATAAATAGGGTCAAACAGATGAAGAAGCTCGAACACTCTGTGCCTCCGAGATAGCGATGAACAATGTTAGTTGCTGATTAACCGCAAGATTTTGTTAGATATATAGGTCACTCTTCACCAGGACTTATATTGAGGTAGGTTGTGGTATTGTGTGGTTGCTGTACAAAATGTACCGGCAAGATAGATAACACCCCATATGCTGTACCCTGGTCGGATGCTAACTCTACGAGGAAAAGAGGCATTGGCCTATTTTATAGAAATTTTACCCAGTGTTTAATGTGTTTAATTGCAGACTAGTATTGCATTTGGGTGTGTGCTACCCGGGTTTTACGGTTCCCGGAATTGTCACAGAAGAGAATCGAAAGCAGTACGTGAAGAAGTATGAGGATATGAGGGCAATAATCCCCTAAACTCCGAGTGGCCTAGTTTGCGATATAACGGAAGACTCCAGCCCGCAGACTTTGGGGTTGCAAACAACCCATGCCACCGAAATCATCTGTCGCCAATTTACCGGAGAGATGTACACCGGACCCATCACTGACTTCGGTTTACAAAGAGGTACTTGGGAAGAACAAAAGATAATGTTCAAATATAAAGAGAGTAGAGAGAATGTCGAGATGATAGCCAAGCCTTATTCATCTACATCCATTACTCACCATGACCATGGCTCCCTCCGGAGCCCGAGAAGACTTCTACTCTGGCCGTTGCCCATCAGCCACAGATGGACTAGGCTCTTATTTTTGCTTTGTGTTGACTCAGCACAGCTTTTTCATACCGGTGCTTGGCCAGAGGGATATACGAAAGAGCAGTGGAAAGATGAGAAAGCCGCTGTCATCTATAGCGGTGCATCTTCCATTCCAACCGCTCCAGGAATACAGGTGAGTTGGTGATTTGACTTGATATAAGTGACCGTGCTAACATTGAGGTATAGCCCTATGTCAAGTACATGGATCTCCTCGTCCGTACCGCGGCGTGGTCAAACTGCGAAGGAATATGGACAGAACTACCAGTGCACAGAAGACCAGAAGTTCGAGTTCCATGAAGATCCATCAAGCTCGTCGTTCATGCTAAAGACATCGGGGACCAGGTCAATGGAATCTTCCAGGGCTTTTTCAAAGATACCGATGCGTAAAGCAAAATGCGAGGGACGAATGGTTGGCTAAATCAAGTGTGAAAATCTTCCGAAAGGATTTACTCTCAAGTGTGGTGTTGGCTGTCGTCATGTTACTCCTAGGTATGAGCAGTTCTCTTACTCTCCTTCTTGTTTGACGTCTCTAACAATGGTTACCCGCACTGACCCATACATTGAAGCTGTGCAGCAAGAAATGTGGATGTTCACTTCACGGGAGTTGATCGTCTAATCGTCTAACAGAAGATGGCGTTGTTGGGTCTGACGGAGTCGAGAGAAAGGTTGATACTGTCTATTGTGCCACCGGTATGTCTTCAACACTTCATCCTTTGAGTAAAGCATGATATATTACTAACCTCAACAAGCATTCGATGCCACCTCCTGTCCAGCTTTCCATCTTATTGGAAAAAGCGAAGCCGACCTCTCTGCCAAATGGGCCAAGGCACCAGAATGCTACATGGGCCTGACCATCCCCGACTTCCCCAACCTAATCACCTTCAATGGACCAACATGACCAATTACCAATGGATTTTGCCTAGGCTCCCTAGATGCAATGGATGACTACGCGATCCAAATGATCCAGACTTACAGCTGGTGCCAAACTTGCACTCTTTTGCACCCCGCCAGGACCCCAAGATGCTTTCAACGAGCATGTTTAACAGTGGATAAAGCACACTGTATGGTCTGAAAGCTGTCAGGGCCGATATGGCAAACGGGTGAAGGCCGTGTGGCCGGGCGCGAGTCTACACTACATCGAAGCTATCAAGTCCGTGCGTTGGAAGAATATGAAATTCGGTATGAGGGGAACGCACAGTCAAGCAATCCAATCGCTTGGCTTGGTATGGGCTCTACTGTGGCAAGTGAAGTAGATGTGCTTGATAAGAGTTCCTATCTCAAAGTTGACGTTATTGACTCAAAGTGGTGGAGTAGTATGAATGGAGGTGGCCGACAGAATGGCCATCAGAATGGATATCATTAGATTAGAGTTGTACAGAATAACTACAAAAATTGATGCCAGAATCATAAGTTTTGTTGTAAAAGTTTGTATAGTTATGGGAAGGATCTAAACTGTGTGATACCCTCAACAAATAAAGGTAACAATAAAGAATTGTGTGTGTTGTGATGTCGTGCCTGTGTCAAGAGAATTGTTAACGGTTCTTAGACAGAGTCTTTTCTGAGCTTAGACCAAATGAACTAAAAGGCTGTAAAGTAACGCCCGGAACAGCAACAGTGTGGCTAAATAGCATCATGATAATAAGTGAGGGTCCCCAACGCGAGCAGGAAGAATGTACAATACCTGGTGAGCCAACATACAAATAATTGATGCCACGTTCAAAGTACGAAGTTACGAAGAAAGCATCTAAGTTATATCGTGGTAACTTACATATATAGGACTCCGATGGCGGCCCCCGAACGGGACTAGCGCCAATCCGCTCGATTAAAATTTAACTCCGAGCACATGTTCCTGACTCCATCACTGGTGTTGTCATTCTCTTTCTTTTTGGTCTTTCTTAGAAAAAATAGAAAATATGTCTCCTGCTATTGCCGCCGGTGCTGGCGCCGCCTCTAAGGATGTCAAGAAGGAGTCTGCCACTGCTCGTCTCCTTGGTTCCGGTATGTCGTCGACGTGAACATGAAACCAACCCATTGCTGACCTGCGACTCCTCTAGGCTCTGCCGGTATCGCCGAGTTGATGATCTTCCACCCCGTACGACTGATGTCCCCCGGATTCCAGAGCCATTGCGACCTGACACTGACACCTCCCACAGGTTGACACCACCGCAAAGCGATTGATGAGCAACCAGACTCGGGTGAGATTGAGATGATATGCAGTTTGGATGTATCTGTCGCTGACCGGGCTCTTTACAGATCACCAATACTACCGCTTTCAAGGAGGTCGTCTTCAAGGAGTACGCCAACGCTTCTGTCGCCCGCAAGTTCACCTCTCTGTTTCCCGGTCTTGGTTACGCCGCGGGTTACAAGGTTTGTGACTCCTCTGGATCCAACATGGAGGAATATACAGCTTACATGATTTTGAATCCCTAGGTTCTTCAGCGTATCTACAAGTACGGTGGTCAGCCTTTCGCACGCGACTACCTGGCCCAGCACCACGGCGCCGACTTCGATAAGGCCTTCGGCAAGGGTACAGGCAAGGCTATTATGCACGCCACTGCTGGAAGGTAAGACAGATTGGATTATTGGACTGGAGGAATTTTGTTACTAACTCAATCAACCAGTTTGATCGGTATTGGAGAGATCGTCCTCCTCCCTCTCGATGTGCTGAAGATTAAGCGTCAGACCAACCCCGAGGCCTTCCGTGGCCGTGGCCTTTTCAAGATTATCGCTGATGAGGGTATGGGTCTTTACCGCGGCGCTGGCTGGACTGCCGCCCGTAACGCCCCTGGCTCTTTCGCTCTCTTCGGTGGTTCCGCCTTCGCCAAGGAGTACATCTACAAACTGAGCGACTACAACGCCGCCAGCTGGGGCCAGAACTTTGTCGCCTCCGTCTGCGGTGCCAGTGCCTCCCTGGTTGTCTCCGCTCCGCTGGACGTGATCAAGACCCGTATTCAGAACCGCAACTTCGAGAACCCCGAGTCTGGCTTCAAGATTGTCTCGAAGATGCTCAAGCACGAGGGCCCCACCAGTTTCTTCAAGGGCTTGACCCCCAAGCTGCTGATGACTGGTCCCAAGCTGGTCTTCAGCTTCTGGCTGGCACAAACTTTGATTCCCGCTTTCGGTCAGGTTGTATAGAGACTTCTGTTTCATAATTGTTGCAAGATCCCCCCCATTTTCTCTCTTCTTTTCGGACTAGGTCAATTCCCCAGGCCGTTTTTGTATTTCTCATAGACATGTTTATTTTCCCACGGGGGTCTACCTAGCTTATATTTCCGGAATGCGACGAACTCACTCTACTTATTACAACATGGACAAATTGTATACAATTGTGCAAAGATAATATCAACTTATAAACAAAGGTGTAACGAATTCTATTTCGTTCAAATGACATGGATTCTATTGCTCATGTGGGCGCAAATGACCACAAGAAGAAGGGATGTATGGTGGGAATATCAACATAAAAACCAATGTAACAATGAAAAAGGCGCAGATGTAAATGTAAAAGCATGTCTCTCGGGTTTATACGGCATTCTATTGACCGGCAACAGCACTTCTTTGCTTTGCTAGCCAGCCCTTGGAGTCTCCTGTGCTGGCTCCATGTCGATATCGTGATACTGTCATGTTGTTGTTCTGCCATCGGCTCTGAAGGTGATACCAAGCCGAGCCTACGAGGCTCAGTTCTCGGGCTTGGCTATCAATAATCTTCTGGAGTTCAAGCTAAAGAACAACATTAGCATACTGCAATAGACCGGCGGAGGAAGGGGAATTGATTTGCGACTTACCTCTCTTTCTTTGGGAATGCCATCGTCCAGGTTCTCTTCGTAGTTCTTCATACGCTCACGCAGCGACTTGACGAGTTCGTTTTGTTGCTGGATATACTATACGACCAAGCGCAGGTTAGCACACGGGATATCAAAGAGCACTGATGCGAGTAAAGGACTGACCTCTGCACGTTGAGCAAGTCGCTCAACATTCTTCTCCAGAACCCCAGCGCACTGTTTCAAGAGGTCGAAGCTCGATTTCTGGGATACTTCCCCGCCTTCGTTGTGAGTCTCAAACTCGCCCAGGAGCATCTGCATCTCTTTCATCACTTCTTGGTCCTCAGAGCTGATTTCGCTTTGTTTGTTGTCGAGCATCTTGCGCAGCTCCTCTCGCTCTGCACAAACCTCGCGCACTAAAGTTTGGCTGGCATCAACCTCGGCCTCCAAGTGATGGACATTATGGGTGAGACTATCCCAATCACCCCGAAGTTTCGTCAATTCAGCTGAGTTGTGCTCTTCGAGGCCGCGAAGCATGTCGATTTGCTCTTCATTGACAAGGCCAACTTTGAGACTGTAAGCAATGGGTACTTAGAAGGGTACGAAGTAATAGCTGACTTACGTTCGGCCTGTGTATCTGAAAGTTCCTTTTTGGCTATTTCCAAGGTATCTTGGACCTCTGCAATCTTTTTGAGGACCCCAGTGTAATTCTCGTAGAGTTTCCAGTACTCGTCACTGCACAAAAGGTTAGAAATATCACACAAAAAACTGCTGATGGTATTACCTCTGTGTAGAATTGGCGCGTGCCAGCTGTACAGACGCAACAAAGCTCTCAGAGAAACCTTCTGCGTGGGATTCCGGCTGATAATGGTCAGTCTCAACCGAATATAGTAAGTAGATAGTTGACTTACGGCAGTCGAAGGTGCCTTGAGGGAATCCATTTCCCGCTTCAGGTCATCATTCTCAGATTTGCTGTAAAATGGTTAGCATCAGACAAGAAGCCAAAGGTAACTTATATACATACAGCTGAGATTCTTTGACACCGATAGCCTCAAAGTCCTTATGTAATGTTCCTTGCATCTTCGGTGTCTCAGAGCCAGGAGACGGACTGCCTGGTAAGCCGTCCATTTCTCCGAGACGCTCACGTAGTTCGCTGATCAGAGCATCGTCCCTTTCATGCTGTTCGTCTGCACTTTGCAGTCGTTCTGTTAGAGCGTGGTTGTTGAACTCAAGCTGTTTCTTGAGGTTCTGGATCTCGTTGCATTCCTGCTCAATGCGTGGCAGAAGCTTGCGATATTCCTCCAATTCCACATCGCGCTCTGAAGACCATCGCTGCTGCGAGTCTGAATCCTTCAGTTGTTGCTGAATGTCTTTGATCTGATTCTTGAGAGTCTGGTTCTCTTTCTCGAAGTCTTGGCTGGCTTGCAGCTTCTGGCGGTATTTCTCAGCCGCGTTAGCCTTGCGCGCAAGCTGATCTTTCTCAGTCCGGAGCTCATCATAGTCATCTTGTAATTTCTGATAGCGTTGGTTCTTGACCCGCAAGGACTCCACTGTCATCCGAAGACTGTCAATCTCGTCTTGTGCGGCGGTCAATTTCGCTTCTTGGGACGCAATGAGATCATCCTGCTGACGAGTTTTGCTTTCTAATGCCTTTGCATTGAACCCGACATCGCCCTTTCCAGATTTCAATGTGACAAGCCGGTCCTCGGTGGAAGCAAGGCGGTTTTGGAGGGTATCGTTGTTTTCCTGGAGACGCGCCAGACGGTTGTGCAAGTCCTCCAGTGCCTTCTCCAGCTCCTTTTTCTCGTGTGTCAGGCGATCGTTCTCCGCAAGGACCTTTCCCACGCGCTCTTCGAACTGCAGTTCGAGGTCCACGGGACGATCGCGTTTGGCCAAGTCTTCCCGGAGCTCATCTGCAGCGTCCATCGGTTCATGTTGGCCATTATGCGCCTCCTCGATTATATCTTTGAGTCCCTCTTGTGTTGAAGTGCTTAGTTCCTGGAGGGTTTGCACGTATGTTCCGGCGTTCGGGCAGCTGATAGCCGCGATCAGGAGAAGCTTCAGAAGCTTGTTCGTCTCCTTGCCGGACGACTTTTCCGCAATCGCTTCGAGATCGGGCGAGGGATCGAGGCCGGAGGGTAAGGTGTCATCGTTTTGGTGCCGAATGTAGTTGAGTAAAAGCTTGTGGATGTGCTTCAAGTTCTGCCACTTGGCCACCCAATGGTCGGATGGGTTGCGCTCTGGGATCTCCTCGAGGAAATACTGAGGGTCAATGTCCTGGAGGATTTCCCATAGAATAATCCCATCGGTCAATTCATCGGTGGCTCGGAGTGTCTTGCCCAACGAAAAGCTGTTGATCCATTCCAACAAAACCTTGGTGACCATATGTTCCGACGCCATGCTGGCGATATTGACGCGTTTCAAAGAGTCGAAAAACCCCTGAGACTACAGCATCCAGACAAAGCGAGGAAGTGCCTTTGGTTTCAAGGGAGTGTCGGATCCACGCGCGTCGGGGGGGCCAAAGGACCGAACTCGACTAGCGGGGGATGATCGTCTCCAGTCTCCAGGCTCTACGGAGTAACTCAAGTACTTTAAATCATACGATTGGGACAATAAATCCACGTTACCTAATTACCAAAATATAACCCCTGAGTCCAAGAGCCGTATAGGCAAAACTAACTCCACATAAACACCAAAACACCCTAGTTCTCAATGCTGAATCTCCATATGTCATAAGCCAGCTCGGACGTCAAATTCAACCCCAGTGTGTCTTTGCGCAAGATATTTAAAATGTTCCAACATCGCCCACGTAGTCTCCGTTCGCAGTAACAACCTTATCTTCCTCGATGTCCGGCTTGTACTGGGTGTCTTGTGTGGCGAGGGTCTGGAGAGCATTCACAGGAGCCTCGGCAGCGAAACCACTAGATGCATGGTTAGATATCGATGATATGTATGAATAGGTGTTGCAAAGATTGTGAGTATTGCAAGAATCGTAAGAAACGACGGGGATCATACTTGATTAAATCTATAGAGAGCATCAGTATCAATGTGGTACACATCTAGATCCAGAGTGGGACTTACGGTATTCATGAGTGATAATACCACCCTAAAAGTGTCAGTAAAAAATCACAACAGCTTCACGAAAGCAGAGGTGCACTGCGTACAGAAGCCACCAGAGAATCCTTGGCCTGCGTAACGACCGAGTCAGGCGTTCCCTTGGGGAAAGTCACGATGACAGACTTGAGCACTTTGGCAGCCAGCACCATGGGCAGAGCACCCAGCAGGATTGCAGCAAGAGATAGCTTCATTGTGAGTATCCAAAGAATATCAAGTTGAGCAACAACCTTGAAGGGAACTGAGAAGTTGAAAGCGAAAGCGGCTGCGTCATACCCAGATCACATGACCCATCAATCCCTTTCTCATCGGCGCTTCCTACTTCTTTCGCACCCCTCTTCGACATCTTTTTTCAACTCTACAGCGCTGCATTCTCGTATATCCCTGTCTCTACACCCTCGCTATCCCGTTTAATTCTCAGCATCTTGGTGGTTATTTTTCCTTGGGACGCGACACGGCACCCATTTCTTCCCTCTTCCGGCGATCATTGGCTTGAAGGACGGTAGATACACAAGGTCTCTCTGGAAGGTCACGGGCTGGGTTGGACTGAGGGCAAGCGTCATCCTTTTGTTTCAGGTTCTCGCGAAGATAGCTAGCAAGCATTTACAAGTTCCGACTATTTCTCCATCTTGTGTTGATCGTCCAAGAGAACCTGTTCATTGGAACGAGGACGAGGATTAAGAAGAAAAGCAAGCGATAGTTGCAACGGAGAAAAGAAGCCCCCAGAGAACAATCTGAAGCGAATCCCATTGGGAGAAAAGAAGAAAAAAGAGAGAGAAAAAAAGAGCAGAAGTGAGAGAGAGACAACTCAACTCTACAGGACCCTCGTGAACGCCTCGCAGTATCCAATATATTCTGTCGGCAACCTCTTCACAAACACTTTACCCCCCAACCCCCAAGCCCAAGTCGAATCTTCCATATCCCATCATGTCTGGTCTCATTTCTGACGAGATCGCTGAAGACTACAAGAGCTCTCTAGAGGACTTGGTCACGAACGATGCCTCCCAAATCCGCAACCTGACCGTCATCGCCAAGGAGAACACAGAATATGCACAGGCTATCTCCCGGGTCTTGGAAAATCACATTCGCTCAGTAGGTGCTCCTCTTGCGCGTAGCTAGAGATGATTCTAACCTCTGTAGATACCTCCACCTCACAAGCTCCCAGCCCTCTATGTAGTCGATTCCATTGTCAAGAACATTGGTAGTCCCTATACACTTTTCCTGGGCCGGAATATGTTTCCGACCTTCATGGATGCATACTCATCGGTGGATGCGATGACTCGAAAGAAGCTGGATGAGATGCTCAACACATGGAAGCAGCCAGCCCCGGGCTCCCTCGATACTCGCCCCGTTTTCCCTCCCGAGATCACACGCAACATTGAAAGTGCCCTGATCAAGGCGCGCACTGCAGCTCTACAACAGCAACAAGCTAGAAGCCAAACGGACCTTCTTGGCCGTCGCGGAAATACAACTCCAACTGGGTGGAACAACGGCCCATCTCAGAACATGTCTCGGCACCCCCAGTATTCCATTAACGGCCATACCTCGGTGAGACCTCTCTCCCTGATCCTACGTTCAAGCTAACCTGAGTTTCAGACACCTCCCGTGAGCAATCGAGACAGTGATCTGAATTACCTCAACCGAGACTTGGATGGGTTGATTGCTTCTGCGAGGAACGACTTTGCCAATAGTCCATTCAACCCTGCTTGTCAACAACGCTTGAAAGCGTTGCTAGATCTCCAGGGTATTCTACAGAGGCAGCAGCTAACCCAGGAACAGTTGAAACTTGTCCGCGACCAGGTCTCCATGCTTGCCGCCACCAAACCACCGTCTCCCCCTAACGCTACTTCGATTGGTCCCGTAGCTCCTCCACAAATCCCTGCTCCGCCCGTGCAGCCAGTCTCGCAACCCTTTCAAAACCTGTTGAATCCCGGAACTCTCGCTGAACTGATCAAAGCTACCGCTTCGCGTCAGCACCCAACTCCTCCTCAAGTCCCCGCTGCGCTGCCTCAGATGCCCACTCCTCAACCAAGCAGCACTCCACAGCCAGCCGCACCGGAGAACCCTCTGATCGCGGCGTTAAGAGCGCGTGGTCTTCTACCTGGTGGTTCCACACCCCTCGTGTCTTCGAGTTCAACACCGATTCCTGGGCCTACACTGCCGTTCATGATGCCCAATGGCATGCGATCTACGCCTCCCGCTCTCCCTACTCAAGCACCTCCCCCAATGGCTCATCTGGTGTTCCCATGAACACCGCGTCTATGAAAATCCCCCGACTTGGATTCATTGTCTCGCTCTATGACTCGAGGTCAAACAGATGTGGAACTTGCGGCCGTCGATTCTTTGCTACAGAGGAAGGAAAGGAGATGAAGGCACGCCATCTGGATTGGCACTTCAAGACTAACCAGCGCATGACGGAGGCTTCCAGGCGAGCCCAGACCCGTAGCTGGTACGTCGACGAAAGGGTATGTTCATCTCTTCTTCTGGATATACCATAGTATCTTTCTAACCCTGGTCAGGACTGGATCAAATCTCGCGAAGCGGGCGATGACAACGGTGCTCTGGATCCTCAGGCTACCGAAGGTGCCGAAGGCATAGATGGCAATTCCAAGCAAGAGCCCCCAAACCCTGGATCCGGGCTCCGAACGATGCCACGCTCCGCAACACCCCATGCCCTATCTGTCAGGAGAAGTTTGAGTCGACTTGGTCGGAGGATGTTCAAGACTGGATCTGGCAAGATGCTACTAAAGTGGGGACTCGTGTATACCATGCCAGTTGTTACGCCGAAGTGACCAAGGATGGCCCTGCACCGGCGCGTGGTGCTATGCCGCAAGCGCGCACTGGCACGCCGGATTCAGTGCTGGGCAAGCGCAAAGCTGAAGTAAGTTGCAAGAGACTCTTTTACACAGTTCAACGCTAACTTTGCATAGGGAAATGAGTCTCCAGGTCAAAAAACGCGTGTCAAGATGGAACAGGCTTGATTTTTGTAACATACCCACATATTTCGCATGATTCTTGCATTGCATAGGGGAAATCTCCCTGGCGTTTAGCGAATTGATCTATGTTGTATTTCACACCATTGTAGCTGTATATCTGACATGACGTTGTGCCCCGCTCGGAGCATGTCCGGAGCTCATTTCTCCACTGATTATAAATATTTCAATATAAATACGACGTTGCAACTTGCCAGGGATTCTTCAATCTTACATATTCGGATTCTTGTTCCGTGTCTGCACGAAACTACACTTTTATCATGGCGCCGCATATTGTTCGGTGGGGTATCATGGGTAGGCAGACGACGTTCAAGATGAGAGAATGAAGCTAACTCATTGATAGCCACTGGCTGGATCGCTGAGAGTAGGTTCACTCTAATGCCAATAGATGTATAGAAACCACCTAACCACTGCCGGCAGTGTTCACCAAGGACCTTCTCAACGACCCAACCCTCCGCGATGTCTCCGATGTAGCCCACCAAGTCGTTGCTGTCGCCTCGTCTTCCTCCAAGGCAAAGGCCGAGGAATTTATCGCAGCTAGGGGCATCACAACCGCCTGCTCCGCCTACGGCGACTACGAGTCACTCGTTGCCGATCCCAATGTCGATGTCATCTACGTCGCAACCCCACACTCCCATCACTACCAGAACGTCAGACTGATATTGGAGGCTGGCAAGAATGTTCTGTGCGAAAAGGCGTTTACCGTCAATGCTGCGCAGACTAAGATCCTAGTCGATATCGCCCGCGAGAAGAACCTCTTCTTGATGGAAGCTGTCTGGACTCGCTACTTCCCGCTCAGCATTCAGATTCGCGAGCTCATTCAGAAGGGCGAGATTGGCGAGGTACTTCGTGTCATTGCTGATACAAGCTTTGGTGATGATGTCGAGACGAAATGGGGTGCAAAGCACCGTATGGTGAACCCTGATCTGGCCGGTGGTGCTCTTTTGGACTGTAAGTTCCCAAGATGATATACGTTTGCGCAGAATCCCTTTTGCTGACTGGACCGTTTTAGTGGGGATCTATTCTCTCACCTGGGTTTTCCAGACTCTCTACCACACTTTGCCTCGAGGCCAGAGGAAGGCGCCTACTGTCTCAGCACAGGTCACTCCCTACCACCTCACCGGTGCTGATGAATCCACCACCATGCTCTTGAACTTCCCCACAAGCACTCCTTCCAATAGCTCATACCCAAAGCAATCGCACGGTGTGGCCATGACTAACATCCGTGTTTCTACTGATCCCGATGAGAAGGGATCTGCTGGCCCTGCTATCCGGATCCAGGGCACCAAGGGTGAGATTCAGGTGCCTGGTCCGGCATTCCGCCCTGAGTCTTATCGTATTGTTCCTAAGAAGGGTGGCGGCGATGTTCGTGAGGTCCAGTGCCCGTTCCCTAACAATGGCCACGGCATGTTCTGGGAGGCTGATGAGGTTGCACGTTGTCTCCGAGACGGCAAGAAGGAGAGTGAAGGCTTGCCATGGGACGAGAGTATTGTGATCATGGAAGTCATGGATGAGGTGCGCAAGCAAGGTGGTTTGACTTACCCTCAGAAGATCGAGTCGACTGAATACCCTGTACAGCTGTAGGAGCTGACATATACATGAGACATGTAAATACGGCTAGAAGATATCATATCACCTTATTGAATCAAAAGTACGAATCTACGAAGAAAAGAACATTGGAATGTATGCCGGTTGAGTGTATTCGGTACTCATGGTACACACATACTACTATACATGGCGGTCAAGGGGGATAAGTCCAGGTCTATATGTGGACGAAAACGCCAGCCAGCAAAGTGCCCCCAATTAAAGAAACCAACATAAGAAAACGGTAGGCAGCTTGACTGGCAAATTGTCCCAAATTACCCCCCAGTATCCTTTTTAAATGCAATTCAACCTCCCAAATCGTTTACTGGCGGAAGACACCGAGGATGCTCTTCCACACCTGGCCGGGCTCCTGGCTGGCATCAATGCCGCGCCAGATACCGGTCTTCTTGTAGTAGTCGACAACGGGGGTGGTCTGGGCGTGGTAGGTGGCCAAACGCTTGGTCAGAGTGTCGGCGTTGTCATCGGAACGCTGGATCAGCGGTTCGCCGGAGATGTCGTCCTTCATGTCATCCTTGGGCGGGTTGAAGATCTTGTGGTACGAACGACCGGAGGCAGGGTGAATCAGACGGCCAGTGATACGAGCCACAAGCAGAGAGTCGTCAATCTGCAGCTCAACAGCGTGCTGGAGCTTCTGCTTGCGGTCCGAGAGCATGTCGTCGAGACGCTCGGCCTGAGCGACCGTCCGGGGGAAACCATCCAGAATGAAACTGTCCCATCCATTAGTATTTTCTGGCCAAGCCTGAAGAATCACACGGGATGTACGCACCCGTTCTTGCACTCAGTGTTGTTATCAAGCTCGCTCTTGATCATGTTGACCATGATCTCGTCGCTGACGAGACCGCCCTGGTCCATGATCTTCTTAGCCTCCTTTCCAAGGTCGGTCTTCTTCGCGACCTGTGACCGCAGCATGTCTCCGGTGGCCTAATCAAGGAGCATATCAGTGAATAGATCTTACGCTGTGCTCAGACAAACTTCTACTTACCAGGTGGCACGCGCAGTACTTTTCCTTAAGCTTGGGGGCTTGAGTACCCTTGCCTGGCAGAAACTGTCAATAAACATTGCATAATCTTTCTATCCCGTGAATTGGATGGCGTACCAGCACCAGGAGGGCCCATCAGGATGATGCGCATCTGCTCAGAGACAGACTTGGGCTTGCCGCCATTGGAGAGGCGGTCCTCAAGATCGGACACCTTAGCCTCAAGCTTGTTGATGGTGTCCTTCAGACCAGAGATCACCTCTTCAGTGATGGGAGCCATTGTGAATGTGGAGAGGGAGAGAAGGTGATGGGAGGGAAGAGAAAGGCTTGAGTAGACGGGAAACCGGAGAAACGGGGAAAGGGAAGAATCGCACTAAGCGCCCGAGGTTCGGAGCACGGGCGTAGTGTCCGTAGCAATCCGCAATGATAACCTGAATTACATGTTTAGATGGAATTGACTTTGGTGTTTTCTAGATATGGACATCTTTTTCTACAGAAGTATATATTTATTGTTCTCACGGAATACAAAGTGGCCAGTTCCTGAGGGACCTGTAAGTGGCTGTGGCTGACTAATACACTAGCCTCATGGCGCAGGCATGTGGCGCCGGAGAGCTCTCAGAGCACCTGCGCATCATCGCTTTCCATCCACATTCTCCTGTTTCGCGTTGATTTGCTATTCCATTAGATTCTTTTTGGTCTTTGAGCTTGAATCGACCTCAAAGCTTCTGAATACTTTTTATCAACCGACTCTGTCTCTTCCATCATGCCTGCCACTACGGCGGACACGCTATCCCTCGTCAACCGCTCCGTCACGGTTGCCCCGTTAGTCCTCCTCTCTGTCGCAGATCACTATGGGCGGACAGCAAAGGGTACCCGGAAACGTGTTGTAGGTGTGCTGCTGGGTGAAAACACGGGCGACAATGTCCGGGTATCAAACAGTTTTGCCGGTAGGTGCAAGCTTCGATTGATCAAACCCACGTTACAGTTGAGCTAACATCTGTGTTTCTGTTTCTAGTGCCTTTCGAGGAAGATGAGAAGGATCCATCCGTGTGGTTCTTGGACCACAACTTCGTTGAGTCGATGAGAGACATGTTCAAGAAAATCAACGCCCGTGAGAAGCTAGTCGGCTGGTACCACTCGGGTCCCAAGCTGCGCGCTTCGGACTTGGAGATCAATGAATTGTTCAAGAAATACACGCCCAACCCTCTGCTGGTCATTGTTGATGTGCAACCGAAGGAGGTCGGCGTGCCTACGGATGCTTACTTTGCTGTGGATGAGATCAAGGATGTGAGTTTGTGTCAATATGAAAACTATGTAGTGTCCGAATTGCTAACCGGGAATTCTCACATTCGCAGGATGGCACAACAACCTCCCGGACATTCGTGCACACCCCATCGATAATCGAGGCCGAGGAAGCAGAGGAGATTGGTGTAGAGCACCTTCTCCGAGACATCAGGGACGTTGCAGTGGGCACACTTTCCACTCGTATCACGTCGCAGCTGCAGTCGCTGCAAGGATTGCACTTGCGGCTACGCGATATCGGCCAGTATCTCCAGAAAGTCCTCGACCGTGAACTCCCCGTCAACCACGCCATCCTGGGCAACCTCCAGGATGTCTTCAACCTCCTTCCCAACCTGTCCACTCCCCCTGCCACGCAGAAGATCAGCGGCCAAGAGCCACAGATCGAGAACAGCGAACTGGCCCGCGCTATGAGTGTCAAGACCAATGACCAATTGATGGCCATCTACATCAGCAGCTTGATCCGTGCCATTACCGCTTTCCACGACTTAATCGAGAACAAGATCCAGAACCGACAGCAACAGGAGGAGAGTGACTCAAAGCGGGAGCAGGAGAATGTGGCAAAGGGAGACAAAGACGCTAAGAAGGCCGGCTCGCCAAATGGCGAGCAGAAGGAGGAGCAGGATAGCTCCGACAAGAGCAAGAAGAACTAAGCGAATCTTAATTTTTCTTAGAACGAATTCTCATACAATTGAATACGACCACAATGTTCTATTTCTGGTGTGGATAGCTAAGGACAAGACCTTGACAACCCACATCCGGTAATCTTTGTGCCAGTTCGGAGTAGGGAACAGAGCTTCTACCAAATTCCGTAGATAATACTGCAAATACCCGCCCTACTTGCTCCTATTTCCTAGATCTAAGATCCTCTCTAGGAAATACCAAGTGGTGTACCGTCATGCAGCTTTGGTTTGCCATCTCGCGAACTCAATGGTAGACCCGATGCGTAGTCGCAAGTAACTTCCACGCGTCGGAGACCAGCACAGCTGCATTTTGACAGCAACTGTCGACTGTATGCCTGGTTTGGACAGTTCTTCTCCAATGGACAAGATTCAGTATCCATGGCCCAATGTAAACAGAGTATTCTCGACATGGTCCCTGTGATGCCGCTGTTTGGCAGCCGTCGCACCACAAGTCAAACACGAAGGTGGTTCATATTATATGCCGGGGCCATCTCCTGCTCAATCAGATCAACCACCCCAGCCAGCACACCAACCTGCCAGTTCCTCTTTGGAAATAGCACATCTGCCATCCCGACCAACCCCAAACAGCCCTGGGCACCGCACACTCAGGATACAGGCTAGGATATGTTTGCATACAGGAGGTGACAGCCGAGCTGTACCACGAGCCATCGTCCCGCCGAAAGGGTAGGCAAGAGACTCGTTCTGGAGTGTCTCAACATCGGGTTGGTCATCTGCAGCTGGTGCTAAGGTTTGATGGGGTTCCCTGTATGCCGAGATAGTGAATGTAGGACAGCTGCAATTCCAGGTACGCAGCCGAACCTCGTAGCCTTTTTCATGATTGTGCGTGGAGCTTGGGGGTGATGCATCCAGGCGAGGAGGTACGGAGGCAGAGATTACGATGAACATGTCCTCGTTGGCTTCTGTTGCTTTGGGTCCACGTTGAGTTGAGGTATGTTCCCCTTGGTCCGCGGTGTGTCGGTTTGCGCGGACAACTCGACGCACGAGTTTTCGGTCCAGGATGTCCAGGGCTGGGAGCATGTCGTTGGGGAAGAGGCAATGCAGTGTTAACATGAGTGGTTTGAGAGTGGCGATCTGGGTTGGCGAGAGGCCTGAGAAGGCTTGAGTTTGATTCGCGTTTTGAATGCGAGAATCAATCTCAATTGAGGGTTCATATTGAGCTATTTCACTAATCAGACGATTGATAAAGCCTGGAGTGTGGGTGGAGGAATCCATGGCGAGTTAAAAAATATATGTAATTGGCAACTAATCTTCATATTCCTCTTCCTCCTCTCCCTCGGATAAACTTATTACTTCTGACAGTTCTGACTCCGAATCTGACTCCGGTTCTTTGCTCTTTCCTTTCCCTTTGCCCTTGCCAACCTTCTGGACCTTGGCCTTCGCACTGCCTCCATCCCCAGCCTTCTTTCTCTTCTGGCCTTTCTTGCCCGTGGCCTTTGCAGCCTTTGCAGCCTTTGCTGGTGCCTTCTTTGCTGCTTTCTTCTTGTCTTCTGTAATCTGGTTATGCACCAAGCCTTTGACCCAGATATCTAGAGCCTTTTCTCCACCTTCTTCATCGCCGCCTACAGTGATCCTGAGTGTTCCACGCCCCCTTCGGAAGTCTAATGGGTCATATGGAGCATCCGATTCACCATCTCCTGTCGCTTTACTATTCTCCTTCTCCTCCAAAGCCTTAATTTCCTTATAGATCTCTGGCACCGCATTCTTCACAGTCGCCACAATAAGTTCCTTAGTTTTCACATCTGTGCGTGAAAATTGCTCCGATCTATATTCAGCTGAAATCGAGGAATCCGGATTGGAAGAAATCGCGAGACTCCTCGCTTGCTCCCTCCTGCGTTCTGCAGGGGCATCTCTCATTGCTACATCATTGTCTGGCTCGTCAATAGGGCTGTCGTCGTGTGTAGGCATCCGGCAATAGCTGAAGATATGGGCGTTCTCGCAGTTCTTTTTGCATTTGAGGTCAACGAAGTCGATTTCTGAGACTTTGGCTTCATCAAGAAGCTTCCAGGTACCTGCACGGCCCTTGACGGCGATGGTGAAATGACCTCCCTCGCCAGCAGGCGCTTCTTGGTGCAGGACTACGGCGGCCAATTCATATTGGATGTGCTTGTTGGTTTCCTTTTTGCGCTCATCAAAATAAGTGGACAGAAGAGTGATCTCTTCTTTCATTTGGACCCGGTGCTTAATTTTCTTAATTTCATTATTGACCAATTCGAGACGATTGACTTGGACGAGGAGAAGCTCGGGGGGATGCCCCAATTGAACCGTGTAAACTCTGGGATTTCCGCATTTCGCGCATTTGGGACGTGTATCGTCCTCTTCGGTGAACATGCCGTTTACCATATCCGTGATCGGTATGTGCTCTTCGGTCTTGTCTGGCCAAGCGAGCCTCAGAAAGACCTCTTTCCTTGCGGTGAACACATCTTTACAAGGTTTGTCGCCCATGCATTTCTTCACCTCAAACGTCTCCACCCTGAGCGCATCGTCCACATCGCACCGGCTGTTTGAGTCTCGTTAGTCATGACGCTGGAATCAGTCGATCGGAAAAAGTACGTACAACATTGGCTTCGTGGCCTCTCTGAGCTGGTAGACAACCTGCTCCAGGTACTCCCCAATGTCTGATTGCTCATCCTCCTCGTCTGCTCTCCATGTATCATATACCGACTTGGTGATTGTGTCGAGTGTAGTCTTCCATTTACCAACGCCTCCATCCCAGTAGACAGCACAGAGTGCCTGAAACTGACATACTTTGCATTCCTTGCCAAATTCGCCGCGCTGGCAGGTGTACCCTTTAGGCGCATGGTGGTTTTTGTACCAGTTGAGCCAGTTGCAAAAACCCGGCGCATGCAAAAGCAATTGAAGTGTTGCATTGCGGTAGCACTGAACAACAAGATTTGGGAAGCCAACTTCGGTTGAATCTTCTACCTCTGGATCCCAGGCGGTAGGAATGCCTGACTAGGATAACGTTAGGAGTTATCGTATTCCCGAGGACAATAGTACTTACTCTCCAGTTTAAGTCTTTCGGTTTCTTGCGGGCTAGTGCTGCTTTTTTGGCCAGTGCAGTCTTTTTTGGCACTGGGGCTGCAGCCGCCGATACTGGCGCTGATGCATCTGCTACGACTGGATGTGCTCGGGTTGATCGCGTCGATCGCTCGGAAATATCACTCCCTGAAGCCATATTGAAGTGTAGTGTCACCAGAAATAGTATGCAATTATCAAGATTATGTCTCAAGCCTTGCGAGGGCTTTCCAGTTGAATTTATTTTCTAGGGTTCTCGGATTTCGAATACTCTCATTGTCATACCTTTCTTTGTTAAATTGAAGCATAATCCCTCAAGCGTTCTTTGATTCACGCGGTTATGGATGTCACGATCAATGGATGCGCGGGTATCAGACAAACCAAGGCCTGAGCAAGTATCAAGTCCCAACTAGTTTCTTTCAGAGATACCAACCAAGACTTACACACGCCCTACCACTCAATATTGGACGAACACGGACGGAACCAAGTCTGATCTATCCAACCAAGAAATGCCCCAAGCATCTCTCTTTCAGTTAAATCTATTAATAAAAATGGACTAATACTCTCCCTGAATGCCCAAAGGAAAGAAAGGAGAAAAGGAGTGCATGTTGTGACAGGAGATGTATCAATCTTGGGCATCAACTCCGAAACATAGGTCATTTCACGGGACAGACCCTTAACCGTGGACTCCCCTGTGATCAACATAGTCCAGACCTGTCACCTCCGATGGCTGTTTGGGAAGGAGTCTATACATCGTGGTCTAGAAGAAGAGGACGGGAAGACGGGAGGAGGGGGTTAATAAGAACCAATCTGAGCCACACTTGGATATACTCTTTTCACTCTATTCCAGGAACCGGTTCCTATACTGTATATGAGTTGACGGTCTAGAAGACCTCTCTCCCCACAAGGCAAAGTGTTTCAGATGGAGTCGGTGGAGCCCACGAGCCCTTCATAAGCCAACTAGTCGCAGGTTATTGGTCTGCAGCTTAAGATCCGGCCGAGAGCTAGTGAAGTCCGGCAGACGTTGACTCCTCCTTCTGAATCGGGCATCATTCGATGTCTCTATTCTCCCTTTATCCACTTTTCGGCCCTTTGGAGACACGTACTATTGACCCTCTTGACAGGAGAGTTCCTCAGATCCACAGGTAGTGCATATGACCTAAGTGGAACCGTAAATTCTCCGAGACGATTGAGTCCCATAGTATACGGCACGGTAAGGTTCATATTAGGGAGGGGAAAGTAAATTAACTGCATGAAACGACAGGGAAATGAATAAAGAGAGGCCCAATAGAAAAACCGGGTCCAACGGGTCTGTGTCGGACATTTAGGGCGATCGTGCAATAAATAGAGCAGAAAACCTCCGCTCAGCGCCACCAGCTCTTCGGCCACTACCACTTAAGTCATAGTCGCGATGATCCAACGTTTGCCTCCCCATGTCAACTCCACTGAACGGGTGACCATTGGTTAGCCTATATACAACAACCCTGTCACCTGTACTTAGTAGGGCGAGCTGTATCATCACATCGTGTGCCGCGTCTGACCATAGCCTGACCGCCTCTCTATGATCGGCCTCGGTCAACACCCGGAGCCGTTTGCGCGGATGAGCGGATCACTGAAGCTGAAGCCGCTTAGTCCGTGCTGGAACCTGAGAGAGTAAGGATCGGCTGTGAACGTTGAAGGATCCACCGAGGTCAGGGCAGTGTAGAAGTACAAAGTACAGTTCTCGGGACTCTGTAGGTTGAAAAGCTCTAAACGACGTAAACGAGATTAGAGCGGAACTGCAAAAAGGAGTGCTGATCCTCGCATTGACATGTTTCAGGCAACCGAACTGATCAGCAGAAGTGCGGAAATTAAAATTAAGAAAAAAGAAAAAGAAACGGGGAAATTAAAGAACTCGTGTTCTCAACCCGGTTTTCCGGGTCCAACGGTTGACATGCTGAGAGTACCAGTCAAGGAGCAGAATTGCATTGTTATAATATAAAACGACCCACCAGTCCCTGCCCCGTCGTTCAGAGAGTCTGAGACCCTTGGGAAGTTGGAACTGGTGATTCTAGACCTTTGGAAGTGTATACACAGTGGTATGCACAGTGTACAGTATACATACATACTATCCTGTACATAGAAAGATCCAAATAAATAAAAGATATGTATATATTTACTTAAATATTATGAGATTCGAATGTTATATGATCATATAATATTATAATGGCTACAATAGGGGAGGGAATAAATCCCCGAAGTGTGCAGAAGTGCAATGTGGGACGTACACGCAAGACCCCAGATCCTGGTCTAAGTAAAAAGCCGTTGAAATGAGATCTGGAACTTTTAGCCAGGCCGGAGAAGACCGCCTCATTTTACTCAGGATGATGCGGGTCTCTCTGCGTATATAGGTATCAAGTGTTACAGTAATGTTTGATCGCACTTGCCCCTCCCCACTATATACGTTAAATTGTAATATTACCGTTGTCAAGTGCTTCTTTCCTTTAACCTTTACTTTTCTTCTTCTTCGAGTAGACATCGTTTCTTTTGGGTGGCTTTCTTTTTTCGCTCTGTCGTCATTCCAGACAGCTCCTTCCATCTTTTACCTTTGCCCATCTTCTCTTCTATCTTCTATCTTCTATCTTCTATCTCTCTATCACTGGCTCCATCCGCGCATATGATTGCGTTACAACACCAGCCTATCTCGCATCCTGCCAAAGTGGATATCTCACTCCTACTCAAGCCCCAAGATGAGGAAGAAGCCGCCCCGGGCATCAACACCGGGTTCCCGCCCAGAATCCCAGGGCCACCGCTGGGCTCCATGGGCCCCATCATGACCATGCCGGGCCCTGCTGCTATGACGGCCATGCCTCCTCTCACCAAGTCGGGCCCCTCAGGTGCCCCCAAACGTCTGCAACCGGCGCATACTGCCGAATCGCCGGCAAAGAAACAGTCCAAATGGTCACCAGAAGAGGATGCCTTGATCATCGAGTTGCGAGGCAGTGGGATGAAATGGGAGGATATCAGCAAACGACTGCCAGGCCGCAGTGCGATCAGCTGTCGACTTCATTATCAGAACTACCTGGAGCGCCGAAGTGAATGGGACGAGGACAAGAAGAACAAACTAGCTCGTCTATATGAGAGGTAGGTTGAGAAAGAGAGAACAAACACATGAGCAGTCCACTAATCTTCCGACCCGTTTCAATAGATTCAAAGCCGAAATGTGGTCCAAGGTGGCCGAAGAAATGGCTATCCCGTGGCGTGCAGCAGAAGCCATGCACTGGCAACTGGGAGAACAGGAGATGGCCCGCCGTGCGGGCGTCGTACCATTCTCCCTCTCCAGCGCTGCCATCGATCCCCCCACCACCAGAACACGTCGTGCCAGCACCTCTCTCTCGCGGCCCAGGAAAGGGTCTTCCTCACGCGCAATCCCCGGTCAATTTCCCGGCCTCCCACCCCAGCTTCCCTCCCTGGAAGAGCTCACTGCAGGCGTTCCTGCCTACGCACCCGCTCCCCCTCCAAGAGAGTTTTATGGAGCTGGACGACCGTCTGAAATAGGCATTCCCCCGCCAGGTCTGATGGGCCCTCATCTCGGCATGCCCCCTAGAACCCTGCCCTAAGTCGACGACGATGACGCCTACACGTCTTTCCTTGAATTTTGATCTCTTTTTTCTTTTGCTTTGTTGGTCCTCTGTTACGAATTGCATAGCGCCGGCGGGAGGATATCGTGATTTGAGGAGATAGTAAATCGTATAGATGATTGCTATCCCTCGGTGTTTGTTGAGCTGTTTTCTCTCTGTTTTGCAGGATCTTTGGCAGGACCAGCAGTGCGAATGGATTTGTTTCTCCATGACTCCGAGGCTGGTTCTCGGAGTGCATGCTTGCATGCACCACGTTCTTTCTCAAACGTCAGTCGTCTTGGGCGTCGCGATCGCCCACCAATTGTCTTTCTCGTACCCCGCTTCCAGCACACGACCGCCAGCGTTGTCGATGTCCCGCTCTAGCTCGCCTTCCTCGTACAGGTGGTAGTAGCGGTGGAAGGTCTGGGGCTGGTCACCCTTGCGAACCCAGGGGACCATTCGATCCTGCTCATCACCCTTGTCCCAACCTCTGCGGCTGTTCTTCTGTTCAAGGGCCCAGGCATAGATCAAGATCTTACCACCCTCATGCGTCTTTGAACCAACTTTGACTGTCCGCAGAATCTCAGCGACTGCCTGAATGCGCCGAGCCGGGGTGGAAAGATGGTGTACGACCGCGATCGAGATTGCAAAGTCAAAGCTTGCGTCCCGATGGGGGAGGTCGAGAATGTCGGCTACTACGGTCGAATGCGGCTGGTGCTGAAGGGCAATCCGAGCCAGGTTTTCAGATCTGCTATTGGGTCAATCAAAGCCATGCAGTACGAAGAAAGTGAGCGGAAGCTCCATCCCGTTAGAGGGGTAAACCAATATCCATAAGAAATGGAAAAAAAAAAAAAAAAAAAAAAAAAAACCAAAAAAATTCCAAACTTTTATCACGTACCTATCCGAAGCAACGATAAATACATCGCGATTGACCATCAAGTTTTTGCCATTACCACATCCTACATCTAGACCCACTGAACCGGGCGCCAGACCCTGTAGGAATCGTTCGACTATAGGCCATGGCTTGGAAACGGTTAGTTTGATGTGCTGTTGCAGCCAGTCGCTTAGACACTTAGACACACCTTGTACCGGGTAGCGGAGAAATGCTGGGCAATCTGCTGATAAACCTCATGCACATTCTTTTGCTCGTAGGCTTCATCTGCCTGTGGGGTCGCCATGGTGTTCGAGACTGAAAGAGGTGAAGAATTGAAAAAGTGAAGTGAGAACGATATCACGTGGCCTAGGACATAGTGCGGGCAACACATTCAACGTTGTCAATTGTCAACGTTGTATATACTGAACTCGATTATGTCAAAAGTAAAGATACACAACTACCTAGGTATGGGAGCTCTAATTACTTACGGTTCAAAATTACTTCCTCTTACCTGGTGTGGTGTATTGATCTTTCCAGACCTAGAACCCTATTTCGGCAATTGGTTGAGTACCTAGATCAGCACCTAGAAGGGTTTCCCGTGCTTCGTCCTACGTGGGATCTGAGTATTTCGGGATTTCACAGTCGACTTGTCGACTGTGTCAAGCGGTGCCTGTTCCTGGCGCGGCGAGAGCTGACTAATATTTTCTCCGTATAGGAGAGATTCCTTTTCGTGTCAACCACAGAACACAACAAATGTAAGTACTACCTACTCGCTTCAAAGGCTGGTTCTTCATGGAGGCTTTGGAAGGCCCCGTGTCACTGCAACATATGCATCCCCTCCAGTTGCATGCGGCAGCTTATCCTAAGCCCCTCAGGGGATTTTGATATTGCTATGCAACCCGCGGTGACATTGAATAAATGGCTTCATTTGTGACATAAACCAGTCCCCATGGGACTTCTGATTTCATCATTCCTAAATTCGGTCTACACATGGAGAGCTCAGACTCGTGGATCAAACACAACCAATGCTAACCGTTCTCTAGAAAAGTAAGAACAAAAGGGGGAAAAAAAGAGACATCATGGCGTTTCAGCCTACTCCGACGGATGTCTCCGTCATCATCACCAATGCTGCATCAGGCAAAGCCAATGATACAGAGCCCAAGTTCTTGACAGAACGCCGCATCACCCCTACCTGGACCGTGATGCAGGTCAAGACAAAGCTGGAGACCATGACTGGTATCCCACCAGGAAGCCAGCGCCTGCGGGTCAAAACACCCGGCCGACCTGATCAATGGGCTGATGGGGATGACCGCCTGATTGGAGACTGGGGACTGGTGAAGGGATCGGAGTTCGAGGTTTGTTTCTTCCCATAACTGTCTCTGCTGTGGCTGCTCTGCTGGCATCAAAAAAAAAGAAAATGGCCCTTTATTTGATTCAATTGAAGAGCCATTGTTGAAATGAAACTATAGAAAAGACCCCATGCTGAACATCTTTCGCAGATCCATGATAGTCGTCCGCAAACCATGCGGGCCAATTTCACCGACCTGTCATCCGTCGATAAATACGTACTGCCAACTGAAACATACGAGGCCCGCTCAGACTCCGTATTGGCCTGGAAGAAGAACAAGAAGCTAGGCCGATTTGATCCTAACGCTCTATCACCCGAAGATGCTCTGCGCCATCAAGCAGAGAAGGATCAAGCCGAGGTCAACACACGAGGTTTGTTGGAAACACGTGAAATATCCTTTTGTGATTGATCTAATAGTGTCTGGTAGGAATTGCCGTTTCTAACCGGGCAATTGTGCTGCCTTCAACTCCGCCGCATATCCGACGGGGCACTATTCGCTTCGTTGGGCCTGTTCCCAGTATCCCCATTACCGGCCCGGGTCGCGAGCTGCAACAGAGTGGGGAGCTTCCGGCGAATCTCCAGCCTATCTGGGTTGGGATTGAGCTTGACGAGCCGATGGGGAAGAACGATGGTAGTGTGGGTGGGCAACGCTATTTCGAGTGCCTAGGCAACCGGGGCATTTTTGTCAAACCTGACAAGGTGGAAGTGGGAGAGTTTCCCCCGTTAGGTCTTGACGATGAACTGGATGAGCTTATGGAAGAGATATGATAAACATCGAACTATCTCATTGAATAATCGAACAAAGGACCGTTTCTGTCTGCCAATAAAACGAATAGATCAAGTAGATGAGATTTGGCGTCCCAGGCTCTCTCACTTGCTCTTCCACCACTAATTAGCACCAATACAATAGACACTGCATAATTAACAGGACACACAGGCGGGAACGCCAAAACCCAAGGTAATCGTATGAAACAAATCGCTGAAGAACGAATAAGAATGACAAAAGACATAGTTGAACACCACAAGAGACATTCCAGGGTATCCATTCACGTAATCGAGAGCATCATGGCAGGTTGTCAATGGCGCATTAAGGCAGTAGACAAGGACAAAACAGATTGGATTGATCATTTGCTCGTCTTTTTCTGCTTGCCCCTAGGGCGTCCCTTGCCCTTCTTAACAGGGGGAGAAGCAGGAGCAGCGGATGCGGTTTCAGCCTCATTCTCGTTCTCAGTGCCAGCTTCGGGAGTTGGGGGCTGCCTGTCATTCTTCCTGCCTCTAGGGCGTCCTCTGCCCTTCTTAACAGAGGCAGAAGCAGGAGCAGCGGATGCGGTTTCAGCCTCATTCTCGCTCTCAGTGCCAGCTTCGGGAGTAGTGGCCTGAGTGTCGTTCTCCTCTTCCTCCTCGGGGAGCTGTCCTTGGGTGAAAAATAGCCGTACTTCTTTGCTATGGATATTTGCGAAGCTATAATAGTTGCCTGGAAAAAGAACCCTCGGATTAATAAAACCTATAGCCAAGAAAAAAAAAAAGAAACATAAGACTTACCACGAGGAACTTGGAAAACGCAGCCCTTGCCAGCACTGAATTGAATTCCTGAAATGTCTACTTGCACGCGTCCGTGGCATACGTAGAATACCATGTGCATCCTCTTCGAGTTTTTGGGTTTCTTCACTCCTTTAGGTGGAAGCTCCACGACTCCAGAACCAATGAACGTTCCACTGAGAAGTTTTGCAAACCGGAATGATGAGCCTTTGACCTCTCGCGTTTCGATGCCAGAAGGAGCATATGCAACGTCTGTCATGAGTCAGCGAATGAACCACAGCGGCTGAAACGGCATACTTACCCAGAACTTCTTCTTCTTTCGAACTAGTCTGCGTTTTCGAGTCCCATGTTTGGACATAGCCGTGGAGAACACCACCTTCTTGCTCCCAGAGATCAGCATCCCCATCTTCCTCATCCGAGGAGTCATTCCTTGGCTTCTTCGACTTGGATTTTCGACCGCGTTTAGATTTATTTTTCCTTTCAGGCTCTTGCTCTTCGGTGCGAATGACTTCTTTGATGGTCGAAAGGGGGTAGCGATGTCCCTCCGCGACTTCCCCATCACCAAAGACACAACGTTCATTGCGCCAGTACGCCAAAGGGCGAACAGACACCCGCCCAGATCGAGTATGCGTTGCACTGATGTCCTCGGGGTTTTCCCGCTTGAGAATGTACAAACTTCGGCCCTTCAAAGGACCTGTGCGGTTGGCGTAATTGTCCACCACGCGATCCAGTTCTGGCTCTAAAGGTTCTCGCGCGGCCTGTGCTACTTTCGCCGTCATTCTTTTCTTGGTTGGTCTGGTATCGGCATCTCCATCAATGTCGCGACGCTGAGATTTCGGAGGACGCCCGCGGGGTTTGGCTGGCGGTTTATCTGCTTTGGCGGTCTTTGCAGCGCTCTTATTCGCCTTTGATGTTGTAGTCTCGTCCGTTCTGGGTGGAGTATTGTCAACCATAGAAGCGTCATCATGTCCATTCTGATTTTGCTCCAGAGGATCCGTAAACTCCTCTGCACCAGCCCGAGAATCAAGGCTATTGCCAAGATCTTGTTGTAAGCGGGCAATAGTACCTACATTCTCGTCATTCTCGTCATTCTCATCGCCCTCGCCATCGGAGAAATCAGGTAGCACTGAAGGCTCGGACTCTGCGGCTAACTGAGCTTTTGTCTTCCATGTGTCTTTCTTCTGGTTTAATCGTCCCGCGTTCACGGAGCGGGTAGATAGCGGAGAGGGGTCCGGAGGCGAATTTTCCTGCGCACTAGCTGAGCCATTGCCATCGTACGGACTTGAGGACTCATGGATATCCTGCAGTTCCGGGGTTGATCGCAATGCAGTAGGCCCTCGTGGAGACCCAGTGAGGCCAGTCTTCATTGGCGACCGCGCAGCGGACGGGGAAAGGAAAGAGGTTCGTGGGCCATTGGCACTCCTGAGAAAGTCCATTGGATCCGGCGCATTGCCTGGAAAAGTTGAACCGGAGAATCAGCATGCGGAAACCAAACTTCGGGGAAAGCACCAGTGGCGCACCTTCATCCATTGACATTTCATCGGACCCAGTTGAGGATGCATTCTCCTCTTCAAACGCAGGGAGCCCGACTGGCGACTTCTCGGGCGAGGAGAAGAGGCCGTCCACTTCTTCCATTCCATGCTCATCGCGTCGCCCCTCTTTGAGAGAAATACCGGTGCGTCTAAAGATACCAATCGCGTTAGACCTGGGGTTCACGAACACTTGCTTCGCACTTCACAGTAACATGTCTTACCTTCCCGTGGTTCCCACGTTGGAGTAGTCGAAGTCGCGGGCCTTTCCGGGCCCTCGTGCCATATCGGAGGTTGAACACCAGACAGTGAATAACGGAGACCACAAAAACGTAGCGCTTTTCGCATAAAAATGATTCGCAACAAATTATATCAAAAACAGGTAGAACAGTACAGCGAGAAGCAAAGGTGGAGGGGAGGAATGATGCGACGGAATTTGGGCGGGAGAAACACGCGCCCGCCCGCTAATCCCGAAAAGTCGACGCGTTGCATACTTGAGCCATCTTCCCTGAAACAGGACGAACATTCGAACTTGTACTTCAAAATCTTCATATTCACACAATGACCAAAGAGACTTCCTCCGCCAATGCACCAGAATCGTCCACTTTTATCCCCCCCAGTGTGATTCCCGAACGCCTGTTCTCCGGTGATTCCTACGCGTACTACACTCCATGCCCGAACGCAATTACGCCCCAATATGCCTCTCCTACAGCCAACAACGCTGTCACAAGTACACCATGTGTCCTGGGCGTCGATGAGGCTGGCCGTGGCCCGGTTCTAGGGCCAATGGTCTACGGCGCCTTCTACCTTCCTCTCGAACTCCACCACTCGCTTTTGACCGAACAGCATAGCTTTGACGATAGCAAAGTGCTGACACCTGCTGTGCGTGCCAACTTGATGCAGCTCTTAAACACACCAGGAGACTCGCTGTTTGAGTCTTGTGGGTATGCAATCAAGGTACTTTCGGCGCGCGACATCTCTTCCGGCATGATGAGATCACCCACGGCAGTGTACAACCTGAACGCACAGGCGATGGATGCAACGGTGGAGATCATTCGAGGTGTCGTTCAAGACCGTGGAGTTGATGTGCGAGAGGTTTACATTGACACTATTGGTAACCCGGCTACATACCAGCAAAAATTGGAGCGGATATTCCCATCTTTGAAGATCACTGTCGCAAAGAAGGCAGACTCCTTATACCCCTGTGTCAGCGCTGCTAGTGTGGCAGCCAAGGTGACGCGTGACGTTGCGCTGGAGATCATGTACGAGGATATCCTCCAAGCACAGCAATTGTCTGGCCCACCCCCCGAGACTTGGGGCAGCGGGTATCCCTCAGATTCAAAGTGTGTTGGCTGGCTTCGACGCAATATGGACCCTGTATTTGGATGGGGCAATGAATGCCGATTCAGCTGGGGTACTGCGAGGGAAATGCTCGAGCTGAAAGGTGGAGCAAGGGTTGACTGGCCTGTCGACGAGGAGGACGGCACTTCAAGGCTCAGTGAGTTCTTAGTATCATCGGGCCCGGGGAAAAGCACAACTCGAGATGGATTACGGGATTGGTATGGACAGAGGCCAACAGAGATACTATGATTGCAATCCCGGGGAATATTCGTGGGAATGCGTGGAATTAGATATGACTTGATATAACATTGATGATACCTATGAACTTGCTTTCAGGAAGCAAAGCGAGAGTGATAACAAATAAAAAGCGGACCGATAGGTCCTACCGCGAGTATCATTAAGAAAAGATCATGCAAAAAATGGGTATCATAGGCGAATGGAAGCCGGACAAGTTTTAAGGAATCACAGGGTAGCAGTCGAGAAATAATAATTTTCCCAGAGGTATTCATAGTCCTCCACAATACTGCCCACCATGTCCAACAATGGCTTGCCCTTCATCTTGCCTGTCACGCTGTGAAGCCAGGACCTAATTCACATGTTAGTCTTTGTTCGGGGAATTCAAGTCTCAGCCCAGGGGTTCTTACTTGGTAATGTTTTCGTAGAATGCACCTCGCAACAGCCACCAGCCCATTGACCATCCACGCTTCTTAAGCTCCTCCCGCTCAAGGCCCGTGAGTCCTCTGAGGCCACCGGCGACCCTTTCACGGAAGTCACGCTTGGCAAGCTGCCGACAGCCATACTCCATTCCAAATCCAATGAGCCATGGTCGCCAACTGCGCTTATCCTTGCTCCATTTTTGCATCGCCAACGCGTACGCGACAGGCCGAAGGATGTATAGCACTTCAGCTAATTGTCCTTGTCCCGTCGCACGGTGAAGAAGTGCCTTCGGGGGCTTGATATCATCCGCTGTAAGCACCTTTGAGATGAGATAGTTTGACACATCGTTGACGTCAGGGAGAGACGGCAGGGATAGCCCTGTGCGCGGCATCGTCCAGTTCAAGCCTGAAGACCGTTCGCTCACGGGAATGTCCATACCGTTCCAGTCCTCCTTCTGGTCGCCCTCTTCCGCTGTTCTTGGGTCCAATTCGCGCTCCGGGAGTGGGGGGCTGACAAGGGGTCTGGAATTGGTCAGTCGGAGCAGGAGCAGGCGGCAGACTGCCTTGGCGAATTCAATGAAGACGACCACACGCCAGCGAGTCTTCTGGCCCCGTCGCCGTGCTGCCATCTCCCAGAGAAGCTCTGTGTACTGGAGCATCTGCAGCGCAAGCGCTACCTGGCGGTATAACGAGGAGCGAGAGGTCCAATATTTGGTATACCGGGAATGAGGAGTAGGCTGTGGCCGAGGAACAGTCGGGGGAAGCCGATCAATTACACGCGAAACAAGAGAGTCATGGTATAGCGACAACAACTGGACACCGGAATGCACTGAAGGGGTTATCAGCACACGCTCGACAGCAGGTACACTGTTATACTAACCACATTCTGAAGGTATTTCTGATTCGCGATATCGCCCTAGCAAATTAGGTGAGTTAAGAACATTCCCACAAATCCAAGCACCAGAGTGGAGAAACTCACCTGGAATGATATATGTCAAGGATCGCAGCGCAGACTCGACTTGACCAACCGAGCTGGCATTCTTGGTCACGAAGTCTTCATAGAGAGAAAGCCATTTAGATGGTTTCAAAAGTTCTGGAGGTATTGGATTCTGGATGTTGCGAACGGTCTCCATCTTGAAGCGAAAGCATGTCAAGATAGATGAAGTGACGGGAGAGCGAGATCTGGGGGAGAGGTCACAGGCACGTGGTCCCGCGTTGCCAAGAACATTTGGGCCGAGGTTGATGCGTTCGGACTTGGTACTACCCATATTCATGTTGCGAAATGCATAGTTTGTGATTTTTGATATGTGTTCGCCGATATCATCTATATATATATATATATGCTACATACTCATAGAATCATAGTGTCTTATTCGTCTGCCCATGTCCATAACCCTCCAGGGCGCATGGCCTCTCGGTATCGCTCCTCCACTTTTTCTCGCTCCAGTCTTTCAGCAGCTTCACGATCAGATTCCTCGTCTTGTGTATCTGGCATGCCTGTTCGCCAGAATCCAGGAGGGGATTGGGCTCGCTGGTGAGTATGTCGATGTCGCCCATACTGGTTGGCCAAGGCCCTGGCTCGCGCTTCCACCAGTAGATTCTCACGGTCTTGACCCTTCAGAGTTTGAAGTAATTGCGTATCGTCTCCCAGATATTCCTGTAGTATTCTCTGATCTTCTTCTTCTTTTGCTGCTCCAGATCTGCCAGGAAGACCCCCAAGGCGAGCCATGGCCCGGAACCGATCCCCACAGCAACCTGGGCGAGTGCAGCCTGATATACATTTACGGTCATCTTTCTTGCGAACCACCGTATCGTAGGCAAAGTCAAGTCCTTGATTTCTCGCGGGGTTGATTTTGAAATGCTCCAGCCTTAGACATCGAAGAGGCCTGGCCCTGTAAGGCTCATCGTCTGGATCTACGTCGGGCGCAGTTTGACTTGGAATTATTGGCATCAAATCACCTTGTGGTGCGGTATCTTCCGTTATTGTAATCGAGCCCGCAGCTTTTTTCGAAGCGCTGAGTGGCGACCTGGAGGGTGCCGATCGATCCAACAGATTTTCCAGGCGTCTGTGGGCAGGTCTGTTACTGGCACCCTTCTTCGATGGCCTTAGGGTTGCGTGAGAGGCAACATCTTCCCCGTCTTCTGCCAATGATGGTATTGCACGTCTCTCCAGGTCTTTTTCGTGTTTCGCATAGTGCGTTTCATCGGGGTCTATCGCAGTACGTGCGTTTCCATCGACAGGCCGAAGCACTGAGTGTTGCGATGTCTGCCGGTCTGGTGGAATGTGCTTCGAATGAGGTACACGCTTTATGCTGTTGTTTGAGTCCCAATTGTTCCCAGAATTGGCATCCTTGTAGGCTTTTCGCTTCATAGGTGTTCGAATTGTGTCACCTATTTCGTCAAGATCTTGTGTGCCTGCGGATGGTAGTTCGTGGTTATATGTGGAGGGTCGGATTGGACTGGAAGACATAATCTCGTTTTTAACAAGTACAGGGTGCGCTGAGCTCGCCTCCTCCCACTGGTTATTGGGCAATGGATGCTCGCTGGGAGACGCTGGCGGAAGTCTCTGCCCTTTTGGCTGGCTGTGCACACCGAGTAAAGTACATGCTCCATCAGAAGATTGTTCTGCGCGATCCACATCTAGTGGAGGAGAGCTTGATTGAGTGGAAGCTGGTTCTGATGGATGGTTGAAGGTTGCCGTTTTGTTATGATCCAGTTTAGCTGCTTCCTCAGGGCCGTTTGCATGTTTGCGGATCGACGACGACTTGAGAGCTTTGGCTGGAGAATCTGAGCTCTCTTCTCTTGGACGTTTTTTTGCAAGGCTTTGAGTCGCTGGAGAGTGTTCCTTGTCAACTATATCCATGGTGGTACTTTTCACTCTGCGAAACGTGACTGGTTCGCCATTGAGAACAATCGTGAATTCTTCATGTTTTAATTGTTCATCCCACCGCCGTAGTTTCTTCTTATGCTGCAAAACTCTGGATTTGAGGCGGCTCCAAGTCCGAATGAATGTCTGTAAATTGGTGTAAAGTGCCGTGTATTTGGCCTCGACCATTCTTGGTGAAGTCAGAACATCGGAAGGATCATCTTCCATGCTATTCCCCCAGAGGTTCTTGGGGTTGAATTCGGCTTCTAGATTTGCGTATTCTCCGGGAAGCTCCAGATCGTGCGGATCAACTTCGTACTGCCGCAGCTCAATTTGGAGAGCATCAATATTCTGTCGAAGCTCTTGGATTTTGGCCTCTGCTTGTCGCTGGGCTTGACTGGCCCGTAATTCTTTTATTTCTGCCCCTTTGGTGTAAGTATCGAGCTGGGATTTCAAGCGTTTGTACGCCTTGTCAAAAGAAGCTTCACAGGCATTTGCCACTGCGGCATGAAGTTCCTGGACAACTTCCATTGTGATAGGGGAAGCGTCAAGATGAGTTAGAGAGAGACGCGACGCGTTTGGGCCCACGTGAGCTTATCGATAAGGACCTCTCCACCTCTCCGTTCGCCAGGGCTGTCGATGATCTTGTCGCACAGAATGTTCAAACGGCGCAAAGACCAGGACTCTGCTCAGCTACACAAGCGTCTTCGTACTCGCGATGCTGGGTCTGTGGACCGCCTGTCTCGCTTGAGTAATGAGCTCCTACTTCATATCTTCTCATTTCTGCCTGTTTCATCGCTGAATGTGTGCCAAAGGTAATACATTCGCTGTTGATCTAAATCTCAGTATTGGCACTGACTTGACTTTACTACAAGGTTATCCCATCGGTTCCATGCTCTTGGTGGTGACTCCGAGCTATGGAAAAGGCAGTACTACTCAGAATGGGTGCGACCTCGTGCCCGCCGGCTCGCAAATGTTAGACATACAACACTCCCAGCCAAGACAGACTACTCGCCCAAAGTCGCAACATGGTTCGACCATGGTCACTTGGCACAGGAGGCCAAAACCAATTGGAAAAGACAATACCGGCTTCGGCATAATTGGTCCAGAGGACTATGCCGGTTTACTGAAGTCGAATTTCCTCAGCCGCCATGTCCTCCAACCCTGGTCAGATTTTGTGCTGGGGTTGTCTTCTCAGCGGACCCGTCGTACGGGCTCCGGGCTTGGCCTGCAAGGGACCCAGCATCTTGTATGGCAAGAGTTCCATTGACGGCTCATCCCAATGAACCACCCGTAGCCCCAACGGCTTTGGCGGTAAGTCAGGTTCAAGACGAGATCGAAATCTCAGTAGGATTGGGAAATGGCCATTTTAGCCTCTTCGTCTTGAACATTAGAACATCCGATCTGAGCTTTCAATCCTCTCATCTAGGTTGCATTGATGGTGCTATAACTGCAATGGCATTGTCATCGCCATACCTGTTGGTGGTATCCCAGCATAAAGATTTGACACTGTACAATCTGCGTCACGGAAGCCAGCGGGCAGGTAAAACTGGCGAGATTCAAGACCCACGCCAACTCGCCTCTCTCAGAGCGGAAAATATCGTTGCACCTATGACTTTATCTCTTCGAGTCTCAACTTTTGATATTGTCGCGACTATTGTGTATAGCTTCTTTCATATTGGATGTGGCTGGTCGCTGGGAATTCAAGAACTGCGCCTGGGCAAGGATGGCCAACAACTTGACTCACGACTAGCCACTACGGTGGATTCACAATATGGGTTACGGCCACCACAAGGTCTACCACAATCCCAAAAAAGACGACACTCAGCGACTCGGGCAGTCAACAGTCAAGGCCTCACCACTGGAACACCAACCATCCTACACCAGAGACCGCCAACCTCTATGTCTTATTCTCACCCATATCTGCTGACCTCTCACGCGGACAACACGTTGACTATGTATCTTGTGGTCTCTACATCCGACAATTTATTTGTTCAAGGTGGCCGGCGCCTTTGGGGCCACACCTCTTCTGTATCCGCTGTTCAAGTGACAAATCGTGGTAAAGCTGTTTCAGTGAGTGCTCGAGGAGACGAAATTCGAATCTGGGAATTGGAGATGGCGATATCTACCTTGGGCAGTCGCAAATATTTCAAAGAAGAGAATGGGGTCAAGCTCAGCCCCGAAATAAAGCAGGATGAAGGTTCAGAGGTTGCCCCTGTCCATCACAGCTTGGACAGAGTAGATCATGCCCAAGGATTATTGCAAGGTTGTGTTGGGTTTGACGAGGAGCGAGTACTGTTGCTCCGAGAGAAGACGGGCACACAGCTCCTTGGATGTTATGACTTTACATGAACTAATTCCACAGCCGTGAAAAAGGCAGGCCAACTCCACAGAAGCAAACATTCTGACGCGTGATTTGACGATCGCAATGCGGCCAATAACCCGGGGTTCAGGAATCCGGTCGTAGCACAAGGTACTCACCCCGGACTGGGGACCCTGGCAGGGGGTCTCTGGGGTATAAAAGTCATGATCGCCCTACAATTGGGCCAAGGCTCCTGTGGATTTCTCATGACTCTTCGTACATCCGTACATCCAGAGAAAGGAAAGGGAACACTCCAGTTGTATAAAGATGTGAAAGTTCACAGCGAGAAAATGAAGAGACAAAGAATGAAGAAATGAAGAAATGAAGAGAGATGAAAGATGGAAAATGCAAGATGCTTGATCAAAGCCCAAAGCTAAGCACTTCTCATACACTTCCTCTCCATATCCCAGATGAAAAGTGGTCGGGCGGTCAAGCGAGTAAGCTTGCGGGAAGATTTCTCCCCGCACTACAATTTTCAGGACTCAATTTTTTTGACTTCTTCACTCTACACTTTTTCTCCAATATTCTTACTTAAAATGGATTTCCCTACCGGACGTGGCGGCTGCTTCAACTGTAAGTCCTTTCCCCCGGTTTCTCTGCTCTGAGCTTGATGCTTTTTCCGGATTACTTGGGATTTCTTCTATTCTTGGCCATTGGTACTGACTTTCTCTTCTCACAGGCGGCGAGGCCTCTCACCAGGTAATTATTGTCTTTGTTTGAATCTCTATATGGTTTAGATGGTTCAATCTATAAAGAAAAAGAGGCATGAAGCTTATTTGATCATTCTAGGCCAAGGACTGCCCCAAGAAGGGTAATCCCACCTGGTAATGCGTCTTTTCCTGGTTGATATAATGTACAAGCTAATTTGTGTCTTCTATAGCTACAACTGCGGCGGTATGCTTCATCTCTCAGATACTGTCCATGGTTAGATATCTGGACCGGTTGGAACATTGCTAATCAGATCACTTTCCATTTCAGGCCAGGGTCACTTGAGTAAGTCGACGGACTCTCCCATTTCTGGACTTGACTGACATCTCAAAGGCCGTGAATGCCAGGAACCCGCGAAGGAGAAGTCGTGCTACCGCTGCGGTCAGACCGGTCACCTTTCCCGCGAGTGCCCCCAGGGCGGCGACAGCAACTACAGCGGCGGTGGCAGCCAGGAGTGCTACAAGTGCGGACAGGTCGGCCACATCGCCCGTCACTGCCCCCAGGGTGGTAACTACGGCGGCTACGGCGGCGGTTACGGTGGTGGTTTCGGCGGTGCCGGTGGCCGTCAGCAGACCTGCTACTCGTGCGGTGGCTTCGGCCACATGGCTCGCGACTGCACCCAGGGCCAGAAGTGCTACAACTGTCAGTGATCGCCTTGTGTGGATACGAGTATCTACTAACCTCATATTTAGGCGGCGAGGTTGGCCATGTTTCCCGTGACTGCCCTACTGAGGCCAAGGGTGAGCGCATGTGCTACAAGTGCAAGCAGCCCGGCCACGTGCAGTCCGCTTGCCCTAACTAAGGCCTTGCATTGCTGTTCGGTCGACATCTTTCTGCAGTTTCTACGGGATCGGATGACATTTATCTTGCATGCACGAAACGAATTTCTCTTTTTTTCCTGAAAATGTATGATTAGAGATCAACGTCTGGCAGGTTGACATGATCTACCTTATGATGCTCCCCGAGTTTGATTTCCGCGGCTTTTGATAACGCGCAAAATGTGAAGCAGGGGACCCTGCAAATTCTCGTATTTGCACCTAGTGCCTTTTGGGCTCATCTCGTAAATTGAAACGGATGTCAACCATGTCTTGATTTGAATGAAATTAATGTTAAACGCTTGGTATCTAGATGTGAGATGTGTAGCGCGCATAGCTCGACTACGAGCTGCAGCTACATAGCATAGCCCTCTTGTACTTGGGAACGTCCCCACAGAAGCGCTGTTCCTCTTCTTTGTCGAGGCCCCATTCATCATTAAAAGGATTCAAGGACATTTGCATGACCCTTCCCAGAATCTCTCGGTCTCCTTTGTGTTCAACGCGTTCGATGACCTCATCAAGAATCCATCCTCGAGGCACAAACTATATCAGAGAAGGGTCAGTCAACCTACACCAGAAGACAAAACGGAACGATCTTCAATATGCTCTTACGTTTGGATTGACAGATTTCATCGCCTTTTGTCTTTCCTCGTCATTTTCAGAGCCCCAGTCTTCAAGCACACGAGCTCGCCAGCCATCAAGCCATTTCGCAATGCGTGCTCTGGCTGTATCATCAGTGTAGCCAATTCCACCGAAACCTTCACTGTGGAAGAAAATCGAGGCTGTTTCCTTCCGGCCTTCTTCGGTTTCCAACTTGGACAGCGGCAACCTAGAGAGCCGGCGGAAAAAGTGGTTGAAGTCCAGCTCGAGGGCCTCAAGTGTGTCCAGCATCTCCGAAAAGAGGTTTTGGAAGTCCGACTCGACTTGGGTCTTCAGTCCTAGCCTCTGGCACATCAATCGCTTGTATTCGTTCAGGAACACTGCTCTGAACTCCTCACCGGTGCGGTCAATGATGTTCTCCGCACGTTTGACGATTTCTGGTTCAAGATCCTCCGACACACCATCTTTCACAAAGCTTTCTTCGTCGACTCGGTTTCCAGCTCCAATTAGTTCGCCCAGTGACTCACCAAGTCGAACCAAATTCCACCAAATAATGCTGGGCTGGTTCCGATAGGCATAGCGCAACATGTGGTCATCATGATTCGGGGTATATTGGGGATCGAAGTTGTCCATGAACGCGAATGGGCCAAAGTCAAGTGATAAGCCGTAGATGGATGTATTATCCGTGTTGAGCACGCCGTTCATGAATCCATAGGCCTGCCACGCGGCTACTGTCTTCGCGTTGCGGCGAGAAATTTCTCGATACAGCCTCGCAAATCGATTCTCCTGTACGCCCTGGTGGTCTTGGACCTCGTCCCGGGAGATTCCCCTTGGAGGATTGCCCATCTCCGTGGGAGATTGCTGTTCACGTACTGACACTATGGCAGGAAGAGATTCCCACCCACCAAAGACGTCTTCGGCAACATATGTTGCGAGTTTCCTAATGAGCTCACGATCTCCACGAACACGAAGAAGATCAAAAGTGCCAATTCTCAACCAAGTCTCGGCAAACCGGGCAACGATTGCTCCAGGCTCAAGACGCTCAC